AAACTTTCATTTGTATTTGGGGCATTCAATTTGGTTTTAGCTGAGAATCGATCAATATTTTGCAGTGGAATTGATTTTCTCATGTACCACGGTCTATACCTTTAATGGAGGTATTTGCTTACTTAATAAGTAAGTACTTACATATAGCTTTCTTTTCACCCAAATACCTATAGGCATACATTTGTTGTTTAGGTGATTAAAAGCCCAAGTTGGTGAACAAAGGAGGATACTAAGTATTTGGTTCCCGAAATTCAAAAATATTCATAAATCAAAGGTATCCACTTTTGTGTACTTAATAGATATGTTTATCACCAAACTATTTGTTGTGTTGTTTTTAGTAAACCTTTATTTATATCCCAAAGTATGACCGGTATTAGGTACAGTCCTCGGCCGATACCTAATAGGAACATCATAACTTCCAGTAGGCCGATATTTGGGACATTCAGTATTTTTGAAATATTTAAATTTTTTATCGAAAATACATATCTTAATTCGGATTTTTGAAAAGTGAGTCCACAAGATGAATAAATTCACTAGCCATCACTATTTTGTTCATAACCTATACTCTCAGAAGTAATTCTGTATAGTTTCTCAAAGTTGGGGCTTATCCTTAACTCTTAAGTGGCCAATGTTTGGGACGTTTCCCTTATATCAGCCACAATATAAAACAATGACCGACATTCTATTCCAATTGATATGAGATATAATTATTGTAATGAACTTGCAGGTTACAACAGGAAAGAAGTTTGTGAACGATTTCTCCCATCAAATTCAGAAACATCTCTGTTTGTTGATCTTTATAAAAAAAAGCTGTACTGCATTTGTGAAAAGATGACCAACGCACAAATGGAAACATTTTTGGGACACGTGCAAAAAGACTTTAACACCAAAAAGTTAAAATACATGAATTTTCCAGTACCATACATGGAAATGTATCTGTTACATTGGATATCGTCTAAATATATATCACCTACCGATCTTAGTAATTTAACCAAGGTGTTTAAAGTGATGGAAATGTATGATGCATGTGAGAGTCTAAAAATCAAACTACCATCTCCAGCTGATGTAAGTGACAGATACAACAATAACAAAGACGAACCTTATTCGAGCATAAGTTCTGCAACATCGTCTGCTTCGTTCTACCAAGATCGCACATGGAGTTCTAATTATGAAAATAATCGTTATTTTATTGACTCAAGATGGCCGGGGATATGTCTGATCATTAATCAAGAATCTTTCTACACTGAACCAGACCCGTCACTTGCTGTAATTAGAGAACAACTGCTTAATTAAGCATATCTAATGCATGTGTAATTTCAGCATCTTTTACCTAATGTATCCCTTCAGTTGGATAGAAGGGAAGGTACTATATTCGATCGTGAGGAATTAAGGAAAACGTTTGAACAATTGGGTTACACAGTTGAAATTGAAAATAACTTAACCCATGATGAAATTTTAAGGGCCATTACTGATACTGCAAATAAAATTAGGAAGCACTCTAGTCTAATTATATGTATTTTATCGCATGGACTTGAAGGTGAGGTCTCCTTTAATTAGATCGGTACTAGATTGTATTGTTTAGGAAGAGTCTTTGGTGTCAATAGTATTTCCGTTAATATATCCCAAATACGTGACACTGTCTGTTCGGTAAATACTACTCATCTGAGAAATAAACCTAAAATATTGATTTTACAATCGTGTCAAGGAACGGAATGTCAAACAGGTAATTTGTGGATCTGAATTTTGTTTGTAGTTCATATTATCACAATCATTTATTAGTATCCGATGACGAAGACGATGACAATCCTGTTGGAACACCTAACAAAACAGTTTTAAATTCATTTAATAATCAGCATAAAGAATCAAATGTCCAAACCGACAGCGAGAGTAATTTACAAATGGATGGAGGTTCACGGCCAAAACTTGCAGATGTTCTGCTGTTTTGGGCTACTGTACCTGGGTTTGGTGCTGTACGTGATAAAGCAAAAGGATCATGGTTTATTCAGTCGTTATGCAAGCACATTCAAGAGAAGGCTCTTGAGTAAATTGAAAGGGATTTTGTTATTGTATGTTACGTTTTTCATTTTCAGAATGCATTTTGAGGATATTTGCACACTAGTAAAACAAGAGGTGATCGACAAAAGATGGAAGACAAAGAAAATGTCTCGAGCTATGGTCCCAAACAAAGAATCGACCCTTTCACGATTTTTCTTTTTACACTCTTAGTGCTCCTCAAATATAAAGTTCATTTGCACGAAACGAAAAGCTAATAAGTACTTATAAAGTATATTCATTCATAAGTTCCATTCCATAGTCTAACCATGTCTGCTAATCAGCATGAAACTTGAAATAACTATCTGTGATGTCACTTGTGAGATAGATTTCATAAATAATAGATATAGGTACCTAATTATGTATTAATGTGCATTAATGTGTTAACTATCTAGAAAGAACCTTCCAAAATGAATCACAAAATTGTTACTTTTTGAGTAAATGACTACCAAATAAATTTTCAATGAGGAAGCAAGCCGAAATATGCAATAACTTTGTTTTATGTAGTATTTTTCATTTTAATAAAAAAACAGAACATTTTATGTTAAAGAAAATAAACATTATTAAAATTAAATATTTCCTTATATTATTTTATTTGTTTAGTTACCAGCCGTTCCTTTCAATTTATCATAAACTTTTCTAATAGGTAATCTTTTCATTCTTTGAATATGCATTTACGGAACTGATTTAAGTCTGTTGACCAATCATTCGCAGGAATAAGCGATTGTAGTTATACCATTGAACAGGAAATGTTTTTTTTTAACTTTTCTTATTTTTGAAGTGTAATTATTTTTAGCGTTTAACGATGCAAAGGATAAAGTGGGACTTAAATTCATTAATTTTTTGGGAAGGTAGCAACACATTTCCGTGACATATTCGATTGCGACTTATATAGAACACGAGCCTCTTTCTAGTGAAAATTGTACAAGAAATTACTTGCTCCTTATTATTTATTTGTAATTGGTAGTGTAAAATTGTAATTCGTCACGAGTCACATTGGAGGCTGTACTTTGCCCACTGCTGAGTTAGACTGTTAGAGCATTGACTAATAGGGGGGTATCGTGACATCGTTGTGACATTTATGAAATTTTTATGCCAAATAGCAATTAGTGGAAATGGAGTTGCAACTATACAGGGTGGTGACTTGCGTAACGCATCATAGGGATTTCAATGTAAAATTCATAGCATGCGATTATTGGCTCCCCAAATTATTTTAGAGCAGAAATGTATATATTAAGGTTTTTTGTAGGAAAAAATTTTTTACGCAATTGTAAAAATAAAACCCGCATCTTTTTCAATAATATGCGATGCGGGTTTTATTTTTCCAATTTTCCGTGTTTATTATGCAAAAAATTGAAAACTAATACGGTTGATTGACGTAAAAAAATTTTTTCTACAAAAAACCTTAATACATTTTTGCTCTAAAATAATTTGGGGAGCCAATAATCGCATGTTATGAATTTTACATTGAAGTCCCTATGATGCGTTACGCAAGTCACCACCCTGTATAATATATCCATCAAGGTCAATCTTAAAACTTCCACGATGAATGTTCTAAATTATATCGAATATTACAAAAATATTTAACATTGTACAATCAAATTAAACACCATCATCAAAATATCCGTAACATCGAAAGACTATAAGAACGCTCAGAAGTAGAAAAGTAATGACATAATTACTACTAAATCTTGTCTCAGCTTTACCCAATCACATTGTTGATCCATGTTTTAGCAGATTATTTGTAGGTTGAGAGAACGAGAATATTCTTGGTGATTTAAATGATGATGGAAAAAGTAGGACCATCATTGCATTTTCCAACTCATGTTTGAAGGCGCCATTATGACCACTTCCTCAGTCTACCCATCCAAGCCCTTAAACTACTCCTACAGTTTTCAAGATATTTAGTTTGTTCTTTTTGCATTCGGTAGCTTTTAGCTCTGGAACCTGAACGAAGAAAAATCTACATCTTGACGATGTGTGCAGACTGCACAATGTCGTATATTGAAAAAAGCAGATCAATGTCAACTGTCTTATTTATAGTTTTGAAATTTTAACAAAATATTCTAGTAAAGGCCAGCGTATCGCATGAAGATCAGGTGTGCGCATGCGCAGTGCTAAGTTTTTGATTTACAAGAATATTTATTTATGCCTTAACTTATTTTCTTTTGTACACATACATAAGACCGTTAGCACTACTACGCCCACATAATACAATGGTTTAAAAAAAACTACTCACTCCTCAGTAACTTTAATGAATCAAACTAATAGGTATAAATCATACACGATTTATGATCTTGTAAAGTATGACTGATACACCATTCCTGTTGAAGTAGTTGCAAAGTATAGAAAGCAACACCACCACGTCGCAAACCCAAATAATCCTCTAAATACAATTGGATTGAAAACCTTGAAACAAGAGTTAAAATTACTCCAATATGGTGCTAAGTCAATAATACATACAGATTTTAAATCTTCCACTGATGTATGAAATTCTTGTATAGACTGTATCAAAGTGGAACTAGAACTATCACCATTTTGCGAAATATGAGATGCACCATCTACAGGACAGCTTTCTTCACTATCAAACACTCCTTTCCATGAAAAACCTCCCAATGTTTTATACATAAACGTTAAATTTAAGCAGATGATCAATGGTATGATATATTGTAAGGTGGCCACACATAAGTAATAAAATACTGCTGCAATCTACAAGCATTTTTTAAATTCAACATGCCGATAGCACAACTATACATACTCTCTTTTGTAGATCAACATTTGTTATTCGTCCAGCCTCTTTTTTTTGATCCTCCATTCTATGATATGCCATATCCAAATAAGCTTGCAAATACCATGGCGTTAGCATCATCTTCACTAACATTGTTAGAATAACTGCAATGAATCTTACAGACTCAAAAGTGTGCGGATGAAGTCTATAATATGAGAAATATTTCTGTTTGTTTGGATAAGACACTACTTACAAAGGTTCTGAAAAGCTTGAGAATTTTCTGACCGTCAAATAATTGCGACTAACCGGTTTTATCCATAAAATTACTAATATAAACGGTAGCACAAAACTTAAATTCAACAATAGTTGTTTGATTCTTTTTTCTTTAAAATACCTAAAATTAATAAAGTATAAATACAGTACCTAAGTAACTATTAATACAAACTAAATGTCCATTAAATCTTTACACAAATAAGGTAAGTTGCTAATCTAAAGAAATTGTATAGGTACAGGGTGTTAGATTTGAGTTGTGCAAAAAAAGTCTAGTGGTAGAGAGTACCGAAACCGAAAGAAACATCTTTTTCCAAAGAAACCGAGGGCCGCAAAAGTTTCTCTTGGAAGCTATCTTTTAAAAAGTTGGCAAAATTACGTTTCTTTTATAGTTATTGTTTCTCTGAGAAGTTTCATCAAGAAGAATGCCACATCTTTGGATAGGATATTGGGTAGGTATGCATTTGAATATATATGAATATGTTGGAATGAAATTATTCCACTTCAGTAGCAGAGAATAAGCGACATTCTGTTGTTACAAATAAAGCAAGTATGACGGGATTCGAGTTTTAATCTCCTTTCGTGTGAACTTGATAGTTCTAATTTTTCTTAAAACTCGTTAAAATAGTTCCCATTCAAATTTATGCAAAAAATCTCGCCATATGATCTGAAATGAGGATTTTCAATATTTATTATGGTTTACTTAATACATACACATTTTAGAGCAAAATCTTCTGCAGATGGACCCGAAACTCTAATCAGAATTACAAAATTCGTTTCAAAACTGTGTTAAAAAATTATTCATATAAAAATGGTACGAAAACTCAAAAATTTCATAATCATTATTGTGTTTTAATGTCAGATAATAAACCTTATTCTAAAAAAAATTTAGTGCCCTATACGGAGCAACCCATACCTTTAATTGTACCGACAATTTCCAACGCAAAAGCTTATAGAAATCGTTCTATGTAGTTTATCCGCAATGAAGATGACCATATACACTATGTCCTATGTACAAGATAAGGATGTCTATCATGGGGATCTCCGGCATGACATTGAGGAAAAGTTGCGCAATTAACCATCATGCTTTAAAGAAAACCAAAAAATTCCAATTACTTCCAAAGATGTCAGATAAACAGAAATTTTCCGATTTCGTTTTATTTTTTTCTGATGTCATTTGAACAGACACAAAAAAATAACAAACACTTTCTCATTGCAAAAAGTGGCAATGAGAAAGTGTATTTTTATATTTTTTTGTATCTGTTCAAATAAACATTAGAAAAAAATGAAAACGAAATCGGAAAATTTGGGTTTGTCAGGCATATATTCGGTATCGGAAGTAATTGGAATTTCTTTAAAGCATGATAAATAACTGGTTAATTATGCAACTTTTCCTCAATTTAACTATCGTCCTTCTATTGTTTCGGAGGTCCCCATGATAAACATCCTTATATTGGACACAATGTATACTGTAGGTTTCGCATCATTTGCATCCATCCGTTTTACCGCGCCATAATTCGGAAACAAAGGCGAATTTTTGAATTCTGTTTTCGGAGACAGTTAACTAATGGCTACAGTTCGTCGACATTAAACAGACAAATCGGTTAACTCATGTAAAAGCAAGCGCGTACGCTCAGGCTACACGTACAATACTTATGTTTATTACCACCCGTAGAGGACCCACCTGTAAAGGAGGTATTGCATTGGGGTAAAAAAACGACCTCCCACTTTTTTTACGGAAATGCACCAGAAATCCGAATCAAACAAAATCTCAATGATATAGATATGTCTGTCGGTTCCGTCTGTACTGTCATTTCTGACTAAACGGCTGAACCGATTGGAACCAAATTTGGTACACATATTCTTATACATAAAAGAAAGGACTGAAAAGCTTTTGGAGATAACGCGCATGCGCAGGTGTGGGGGTGGTATCTGTGCCAGCCACAGAAAACATAATCTAAAACACTATTAATAAAGTGGCGTTTTACAACTTTTACTAACTAATGTGGCGCTATCTAAACTCCATTCCAACTCTTCAGGAGAAAATTCAGTATCAAAAATAACTACTGTCTGTTTTTACAAGTTGTTATATAATTTTTATGACTTTAGAAAATACTCGAAACTTTTACCCAAAAATAGTCACCAGTATTTTGTTCGGCACTTTGAAATACTAAAAAGCATTTTTCTTTTTTTGTTCTTATCACAAAATCTCATTACAGAACGGTTTCTAATGATTAAGGAACTCTGGTTGGAACATTTCACCAGAAAAATGTATCTATTTTGAGTTCCAAAAGTAACTTTTATTGTTACTAATAAAAGTACCTAATACAGCCTCAATTTGAAATATGAAAGTAGGTTATGTAAAGGAGGTCTGTAAAATGTGATGACTCAGTTGACGTACCGGAGAATGTAATAACAAAGGAGTATTATTGTCGGGATGTTTGCGTGGATTAATTTACCTCTATATTTTTCTTACGCATAAAAATGAGATAAAAGTAGGTATAATATTCCTTCTGTAAATTCGCTTTGCAAAACGCGCCATCTATATTCTCATGTAGCGACAAGTGGCAATTTGTTGTTAAGCGTTTGTAACATCAGTTACTTTTAAAATCCACGACACCTGTGGCCCTTTCAGATTGTCGCGTCCAGAGCTGCGAAATCTCGATGTCCAAATCTGTTACCTTTTTTTTCCGTAAGGTTGTTTCACTATTCTAGTCTTACACTATGGCGACAAGAATTAAAATTATTCAAATAATGATAATAATCAATTAAACATATACCGGATATTTTGTAAAATTATGACCATGATCATGATCACTTTTATCGTCCAGCAGTAAAACTGCAGTTACAATTTTTTTCGAACTCTCAAACCAATTGCTGTTACTGTATTTTCATGTTTAATAGAAAATTTAGTTGAAATGCGCATTTTCGTTCTCGTCCTGTTTAAGAATGCACCATCTCATTGCAGGAATTTTGGAAAACTTTAGAGAGAAACATTTGTTGTATGTGAAAAACATGTTTGTTCTGGTCCCTTCTATCAAAATGTAACCACCTGTATATTCTAGAAAAAATGGACTGAGAAAAATAGTTAGTAGGCAAAACAATTATTCCTAATAGTATCAATTTTAAAATGATCTATGAAGTTTTGGTTAAATTTATCAACATGGAACTATTGGAACCAGTGCAGCAATTAAAATAATTTAAATACATGCAGATTCAATGGACACACACTTACTTCAATAGATCCCAATGCATTTTTGCTATCCTTAATCCGGGAAAAGTAAATAATGCTCCCAAAAAGCCACAGAATACAGCTATAAAAAATTTAAACACAATTTTGGACAGCAACCCTCTAAAACAGCATTGTTTGGTAATTGAAGTCATTCAGTTCTCTAACTAATTACGAAGATTGCAATCCTTGCTTGGTTAAAAATGCAGATGTGCTTGCGTTAAAGTTTGCATATGCGACATCAAGACCCACTTCCAACACGTTTTCATCAACGATTAACACCAACATGGATATAAGAAAATAAACAAAACCGGTAACAATACACGTTGATCTTTCCCCTACTGATTCTTCACCTTTAAAATATTGTGTTGTTAAGGATATTAAAAGTTTTCTGTACCAAGTTAAGGGATTTATTGGAAATTGTTCTGCAATAACTGCCGAATTAAAGGATACAGTGCAAATGTAATCACCAATGCACACCACATCATGCTTAAATTAACTTCATTTTTCTCAGGAAAACTGAAATGGTATATCTACAATGTTAAGTGATTAACTCAACTTTAAACGACCCATAAATCTTATTACCTCTGTTATTATATATACAAATATAGAGTATAACGTAAAATCCAGCAACCATTGATACTCCACAAAATATCGCAAGTGTACCACATCTAATGGAGAAACTGCACATGTTTCTAGTTGGATGTCAAGACTTCTAGGAACGTGAAATGTGTCCTTTTTTTGGTTGCCATTTTCCACATGCTTATGTCCTTTTTTCCATTTCAATTGATCTTTTGGTATATTTGCTAATTGTCGAAGTTCCGAATCTGTGGGGTACAAATATCTAATGAGCCCTGTAGAGCACAGTAACCATCGAGCCAAAGAATAATGTGGTCCCACCTTTTGAATGATGCTTATCATAACAAGAGTGATTACGAGTTGTGCTCCTAACAATGCCTACAAAATGGGATGATTTTTACATTGAATACCTCACTGTTACAACACCTACCATCTTTAAAGTAACATTAACTAAAAGGGGTCATTTAAAGAAATTTTTAGAACTGAGCTCTTCTCCTTGGATAAATTTTTTATTCACACTATTTATAGAGCTTAGCCATTGCAGATCGAATCCACAAAATTCTGCTGTCAAATTGTTTTTAAGAAATTATATAATTTTAATAAAATTATGCACCCTAACAACGCACTTGTAAAGTTTTATATCACTCCAATGATTTGATTTTACTGTAATGAAGAGGTTATGTTGTGTGAGTGAATTTTATTTTGGTTATATTAGTTCTATGGTTCCAAGATCGAACTTGAAACAGACAAACATCAGTTGCTCTGTGGTCATTGGCATATATTATCCAATTTATGATATTTCAATGCTGTTGTGTAAGCTTAGACATTTTGTATCTAGAAATCGTCCGTAATTTAAAAAATTGTATTCTGCTGACTGCCAATTAAAGAGATAACAACACATGCGCATTTTTACAAAGTCGCGTCGGATTCTTATGCAATGCAAGTGAGTTTAGGCCATTTGAACTTTTGTAGGCACAACGAATGGTATATTCGTTTCGTTGTCCTTGGTACGTAACCTCACAAAATCACAATCTTTTTTTCATGAGTCCTTTATTTCTTATGAACTTTGTACACACTTTACAAACACCACACAAGCTACAACATTTAGTGGAAAGCACGAAGCCATGGCTTTGGAAGCTATAAGATATCAAAACAAAACTTTAGAAATATTGGATCAACTGCTTTTACCTAGCACATCACAGTACATTTCTGTTAAGGACGTTGATGATGGTTGGAACGTTATAAACAAGATGCAGGTTTTGTTGCTGATCGTTCGTATCAGATTATCACAGTTCATTTTGTGTAGGTTCGTGGAGCTCCTGCAATAGCTATTGTGGGATGCCTAAGTTTAGCCGTTGAGCTTCACAACACATCTTTTAATGCTAAAGAGGATTTAATGGAGTTCATAAGGAACAAATTGAATTATTTAGTCACTGCCAGACCCACAGCGGTTAATATTAAAATGGCTGCAGACGAGTTAAATTTGTTGGCATATCAGTTAAATAAGTGTCCGTCAGTTACAGCAAATGATATGAAAGTTAGGTATGTTTACATTCATACACGATTTTTCCACCAATTTTGTGGCATGGTTGGGGTTAAAATAAAGTACTCCGTTGTAACACCTTTACTTTGTTTTCAGCCCACTATACATTACAAGTGTGCATGTTTGTGACACTGTCCGTTCTGTATTCTGCAGCTTAGTAATTAGTATGTCATTTACCTGAAACCACTTGCGGTAACAGCCTATTAATTACCTACTGAAAATCAAAAAACACTGAATTATTACAAATTGTTGAATTACAAAAAATATGTCAAAGGTAAATACCAACCTGTTTATATTATTAATATAATCAAATCCTACATTTGATGCAATAAAAAAAACTTGGTAGGTAGTTGAATTTAAAAAAACCAAGTTACCTTGGAGTGAAGTTTTGAAAATTGACCGTTCGGCATATGTTTCATGACTGGGAACACTGCGGAATCACTGCGTTCTAAGTTTTATTATAACTGCGATATTTAATTTTTACTGGACATCTAATTTTTGAAAAAATGACGAACGGACAAGTTTTACTATGTTGATAATACAATATTTAACCTAATGACATTAAAATATAAATCAAAACTATTAAACTACGTCTATTCAGTATATCTTCCGTTGCACGTCATTGCCTGAAGAAAACGACGTACCAACGTAAATTTACTTTCGTTTATTAAGCAACACATTAAGCTTGTAGTTTATTTTGGCCGCAACAATTGGTAGCATTTCGCTATGTTGTCGCGTTTAAATTGGTAAATTTGACAGGTTGCTTTTGGTTTACTTTTCGTTTGATTTGATTTTGATTATTTTCTACGTCTTTCGCTGTGCATTGGTTTGAAGAGTAATTACTGAATAATTTTGATAACCCGTCAGTAATTGTGTTCGATAACGGGAAAACAGACAACATTAAAGTGTGGTTAGGAGATCATAATGTGCAGTTCTCCGAAAATGATTTTTAAGCCGAACTGTTGAAAAGGTTGCACAGTAAGTACGTTCGCAAATTATTTGGTATTATCTAAATCTTGTTAATACTTTTAGGAATAAATCGGCTAAAATGTACCGCATAACGCATTGACCACTTAGCCGAGCAATACGGTTCCTTCGTTTTACGATTACCACCCTATCATCGCGTTTTTAATCCTATCGAACATATTTGGGGCATAGCGAAAAATTACTACAATCGACACATTGGTAGAGATGGACGAAGCATTGAAAATTGCATAAACATGTGACAAGAAACACTACAACCGATAACTTCCGAAACGTGGCGCAATTCAGTTAAGGATACGGAAACTGTAATACACGAGTGGTACGAAAGAGAAAAGCAATTAGATCTTGAAAACGTTGCTACTATTATTATAAACTTTGAACACGAAAGCAGTTCCGATGATTCCGATTAATTTGAATATCATCCATCACATCACATAACCTGTAAAATTTTATATTTAGTACCTACTTTCTCTGTAAAAGAGGTGCTACATTTGTACAGTTCATAAGTTATTAAAGTATATTGTATGTATATTGTGGTTCCAATTAACGAAATGAATAATAAAAATTATTTTTATTTTATTTAAGGTGTGGATGGTTCACACAAAGAATGCACTGTCTTGTTGACAAGTGACATAACCTAAATCGTTCAAAACTAGATTTGGCATTATTGCATAGTAATTACGTCACAGAAAATGATGACGTGCAACGGAAGTTATACGGAATAAAGTGTAGATCTAGATAGTTTTTCAAAAACGTACCTGTACCTGTATCTAGGTATTTTATTTGTCTGATACGTGTACCTGTACCTAGGTCCCAAAAAAAGAAGTACCTATTATAACAATGGATACTTCTATATACTTAAGGCCGCTTGACATGGAGCAATACAACGCGCAAGAACTTGCAGAAAGAAATTGCAAGGTCAAATCCTTGCATGCAATAAGCATTGCATGGTATTTGACATGGTGCAATTCTATTTCAATTGCCACATGTCTGCCAACAGAAGAAACATATGGATTTGTCAACAAAAGTTGTTAACCTCAAATGAAAATTAAATTTTGATTGCTTGAAGAAACATGAAAATTACAAGAATAAATAAGATTAGTAAAAACAAGTAATGAGTGCGTCTCTCAGCATCACAGTTACCGCCGCTGTATTTTCTAGGTTGGTGCCACAAAAACAACTAGATTTATCCCTAGAATTGCACGATTCATGCAAGAAAAATAGCACCGGTCCTATAAAAATTGCATGCAAGTCTCTTTCTTGCAGCAATTGATCAGCTGGCTTTGAACTGCGCATGCCTTTCGCAATTTTTCTTGCAACTTGCATGCAATTGCAATTTTTATTGCTCCATGTCAAGCGGGCTTTACAACAATGCAATCACTCCTGCCGATTTACTTTGGTTGAATGCATCATTATGAATGAGTTGTATGCTCGAATGCGCCCATCAACGCCACCAGAGGGAATTGTATAATTTGGTGTGCTCTTTGATTTTGTTAACAACTTGAAATAAATACATAAATAATTAACGTTAATTTAATTCAGCAAATAATACCTAAATCATATATATAAATAACCATTCTACTTATATAAATTAATAATTGTTAAGCGCGGCACCAAATTTAAAAACCAATAAAACGGACGTGACGTAATTTTGTTTTAAAGCAAGCGCACCATTGACGTCTTCCTGTCTGTCAATTTGTAGGTTCTTTTGCATCGTGTAATGGTGGAGTAGAAGGTAATAATGAACTTGTATTTTTCTAGTTTTAAGGGTTTTCTTTCAATTTTCAGTAGTACTAAATGTAAGAATATATTCTTTAATTGATAAAAATTAATTTTTCGTAAAAAAAAAGGCAAAGTTACGGCTATATTTACGTGTACTCTCTTTAAATCGATAGACCACATGGTCTGTATTAAAATGTGTATCCAACTTTATTTTGATTCAATTGTATGGATATTTTGTTCCATTTTATTTAAATATATTTGCCGTTAGGCTCCCTAAAATTGAATGCTGCTTGTTTTTCTAAATAAATTTGTGGTTATGTATTACAATGTGTAAAATATCTCTATGAATATGACGAAGATTTAAGGTAAGTGAAATGTGGGTATATTCATATTACTTTACTTTGTATAGTTAAATGTGTAATTGTCATATTCAAAGAGATGATTTTGCTTCATCAGTTTGAATATGTTCAATTTACACAGATAATTTCTTTACTTGCAGCAGTGAAAAAGATACATCATGCCACAAAACGAATTTATAGAACGTCACCGTAAGCTGTACGGTAGGAGGTTGGATTATGAGGAACGTAAACGAAAACGTGAGGCACGTGAGCCTCATAAACGTGCACAGGTGGCGAGAAGTCTTCGCGGTCTAAAGGCAAAGATCTTCAACAAAGAACGGCGAAATGAAAAAATACAAATGAAAAAGAAAATTAAAGCTCACGAAGAAAAGAAGACAAAAACCAACACAGAAAAGGTCGCGGAGGGTGCTCTACCAGTTTACTTGTTGGACCGTGATGTTCAATCACGTGCGAAGGTACTATCAAATATGATTAAGCAAAAACGGAAGGAAAAAGCCGGAAAGTGGGATGTTCCAATTCCGAAAGTACGTGCACAGGCGGATGCAGAGGTGTTTAAAGTGATACGTTCAGGAAAATCGAGACGAAAGGCGTGGAAGAGAATGGTTACCAAAGTGACATACGTCGGAGAGACATTCACTCGGAAACCTCCCAAGTTCGAACGGTTCATTCGACCAATGGCGCTTAGATTTAAAAAGGCTCATGTTACTCATCCAGAGCTTAAGGCGACTTTCTACCTGCCAATCATAGGTGTGAAAAAGAACCCCAACTCACCGATGTTCACCAGTTTGGGTGTGATAACAAAAGGAACCGTGATCGAAGTGAATATATCCGAATTGGGGTTGGTGACTCAAGCTGGTAAAGTTGTATGGGGAAAATACGCGCAAGTTACGAATAATCCAGAGAATGATGGGTGTATTAATGCAGTACTTCTTGTTTAATTGTAATATTTATAAATAAATACTTTTTTTAATTTTTGCGTTTACTTTCAAATTATTGCAGTCGTGTTATTCGTTCTTTCACGTGTTTAATTTCTTGTAGGAATAACCCTACAAAATGCAGATATTTGTTAAAACTCTAACTGGGAAGACCATCACTCTTGAGGTCGAGCCATCTGATACAATCGAAAATGTGAAGTCCAAAATTCAGGATAAGGAAGGGATCCCCCCTGACCAACAACGTCTGATCTTTGCCGGCAAGCAGTTGGAAGATGGGCGTACTCTTTCTGATTATAACATACAGAAAGAGTCCACTCTTCATTTGGTCTTAAGATTGCGTGGTGGTGCCAAGAAACGTAAGAAGAAGAATTATTCTACACCCAAAAAAATTAAGCACAAGAAGAAGAAGGTTAAGTTAGCCGTACTGAAATTTTATAAAGTAAGTTAATCAATTTGTTAATGCCTCTTAATTGTTATAAATTATAGGTTGACGAGAATGGTAAGATACACAGATTAAGACAAGAGTGCAAAGGTGAGCAGTGCGGCGCAGGTGTGTTTATGGCTGCAATGGAAGATCGCCACTACTGTGGAAAATGTGGTTATACCTTGGTCTTCTCTAAACCAGAAGAAAGCAAATGAATGTAGATATGTAGTTTTTACATAATAAATGTCTATACGGCTATTTTTTTTAATATTTTGTCTTTTATGACCCAGGGCAGTCTATAGCATGTATATGCAGGGCATTTTTTCTAAACCCTCCTTTTGTATGATTTAATTTTAAACATATTTTTCATTGATCTTATGGAAACTTGTGTCTATTTCTCTCTGAGATTTTTATTCAACATTTACAGTTGATTCTTCCCACAACTGTGACCTGAAGATTCAAACTAGTTTTAGGTGTAAAATCAATTGCTGATTGAATTTGGCCATAATTATTAAGAGCGAAAAGTATCCCATTTAATAATATGAAGTAGCAGAGGTCCTGTTTCTATCTAAACCAGGTGCCATATCCTTGGCAGAGCAGCTTCCTAGTTCAAACCAAAAAACGCTCTTCACATGCTTTTTTTAAATTCAATTGAAATGTAAGAATGGCAACTTATCCTGTAGATACATATATAGAATTCCCATCGACTGTTACCACCCTCATTAATTTGTCAACGAACTTTTTGTTAGCAGCCTATGTGAGATGTGTCACATCCTCCTTTAGTTCTTAATTAATCATAACTGCATTATGTACACTGTTATATTGATATCTTAAGTTCTTTGCATTTAAAATAAAAAGAAGGCCATAACTGAACTTGTCAAGCAATTACTCGTCCTAAATATTAATCGCGCACTTAGCTAGTTGCTGGATTTTGGAGAATACTTTTTTCCAAATTTTTTGCAATACATCCCAATATTTTTGTAGGTTAAAGAAAAAAATCTTAAAATAACTTAATAAAAAAATATCCAAGTCTTTAAGATCTTGTCGAAGGCTACCACATTCATTTGTCGGTACCCACTTTCAAAATCCTGATCAGCCGCAATTCGCGTTTGAAGTTTTGACTCCGCCATTAGTAAGATCTTGTCTAGGGCTACCACATTCGCTTTGTCGGTACCCACTTCCGACGTCCCGTTTACTCGCAATTCGCGTTCGAACTGTTGACTCCACTATCAGTAAGGTCTTGCCGAGGGCAACTGTACTTTTTGCTTAAGTACGTTAAATAATTAGTTCAATTCAAGCTCTAAGTACTCGACTACCCCACGAAGACGCGCACCTTGCAAAGGGTGGTTAATATCGTCCCTAGGAAAAAAATTCCGTCTCACAGTTCTGCGCGTTTACACCTTTGCAACGACACCAAATTGAAAGCAATCAGACTAAAACTATAAAAGATATGAAAAAACTGAGTTAAATCACCACGTGAGTACAAGCTCGGGGATGGCGCTCCCCCCCTTTGGGTACATGTCCACTCATCGTCAAGGGCACCGCCAGGAAGGAGCAGCTACCTCCTCTGAAGAAGTGTCCACAAAAAACTTATTAATGCAAACTTACAAGATTTTTATGATAAAGATAGTGATCGAGAAGTTTACAAAAAAAACCCTTTAAACCTTTAATTAATTTAAAAAAGGGGTTTATTATTAAAAGCTTGCAAAAATGAATTAGTAAAATGTATAGAAGTTCTATACATTTTATAAATTAATTTTTGAAAATTGCAAGCTATCATAAAGTAACTTTTTTATCTGTGTAAAACAATTTTTTTTTATTGTCCAGCTCGTAGAGTTGTACACGTTGGATTTTCTACCTTTCTTATTACAATCACACTGCAAGATAGTAAAGCTTTCTGCCCTTTTGCACTACGAAAGGCGCAGACATACTTTTTTTCCGATCATTAAACATCGTACAACTTATTCGCAAATGTAAATGTGGAATTAATTACGCCATAATTAATTTTGTGGTTGCAAATAAATTTGCAAAGTGTACTAAAAATGTTTCCTATTTTTATGTTTTATATGTGCTTTTCTTTTTGGATTCTCTGAAATTATTTTTAAGTTGTTTTATGATCATAGTTTACAAGTTATTTTATTCTCAGCTCAACTCAAATTTTAAAAACTGCTAGTAAATGTAATCCGTAATCTTTTCAGCTTTATTCATTAGTATTATATTGTTTGTTTCTCTTATTATAAATGACTGGCTCTAATTCTCTTTGCGCGGGTATATAATATGCAATACATGAGGGAGGTCTCACCACGGACGTTGTCTATAGGACCCCTAATATTTCTCAATGTGATTTATTTAACAAGTTTAATTTTCTTTTTTTATTGTAAATCATGTTATTATATTGAGGAATAAACATATATTATTATTATTTGCAAAAAAAGATGTATTACGTCACGGCGCTAAAAACTCACATTTTACATCCTTTATGCCTAATGTACACTGCACAAATTTTAACGAAAATAAAATAACCGTTTTGGCGAAAAAAATATTTTAGTTTTTTAACTTTGACATTTTTTTATAATAAAATCTGGCACGACGAAACGGAACGGATTGAAAATCTCTCAACGATGTCTTGTACAGCAAATAGTGGCAATGAGAAAGTGTTTTTTGTATCTTTCCCTATCTGTCATAACACCAGAAAAAAATAAAAACAAAATCAGTAGGTAAATTTCGTTTTTCCGGAACTATTCGGAATTTTTTGATTTTCTTCAGGGCATGATAACTGTTTAATTGCACAACTTTTTCCTAATTAAAACATCGTCGTATGTTCTATGATGGTTTCCGAGATCCCCACGATAGGGACATCCTTATCTTGGACACAGTGCATATCATTTCTGCACATCGAGGCAGAGTGCATTTTGCTGCATCCCACTTTACGTCAAGGGGTGGCACCCCCTCCTACTAGTGAAAAATGTTTCATTGAAAATAAATCATTACTTAGTAAAAACGTAGTTTCTTATAAAAATAAATAGAATGGTAGTAGAGGTGTGTAGACCTAATACAAAAGGAAGTTTGACCGGCTTAAAGTGCTAGTTTAGAAACAAGAAAGGTTTTCTCCCTATGGCGAGTAACTTTAGCGCGTTTTCAATGCTTTTCAGTAGATACTCCCCAAAACAACATAGCTAGGTGCGCTATGTTTTTCTTGACTGGAAACTTCTATGGTTAACATTTAAAAGATTGCAGTCTGCCTAATCTAAACGAAAATGGCGAGGAAACTTCAAACAAGTTAAAAAGTCATAAATGACGCGAGGGTATTTTCCTCTTCTTAATATTAATCGTAGGACCGGGAAAAAAATACCGGTAGGCATGTGATCCTTACCCTTCCTTTTCAAATGAGCAGCCTATTGTCGAAGTTTATACAGTTTAATGAAAAATAGTGGACGACATACAGATACAAACAAATTTTGAAATGGGCATTAGTTTTACTTTCATTCGAAGTGCCCTAGGAAGTGCCTACATTATAAAACTTTTTTAAATGCTTTCGTAAATAGCATTACGCATTGCTACATTAGAAATTTTATTGGATACCTTCATAAATAAAACATATAGCATGCATAAACAGTATTTTTGAAAACGTCGTTAATTTTACTTATTCGTAGTGTTTCCATTTAAATATCTTCATAAATAAAAAAGTTAGCATTGCACGTGCGTTAATCTACATTTTTGACACTGCGCATGCGCAAAACCAAAAATATCGGTATGCACGAAATCCTTTTGGACCAAGCTATTGGGCTATGAGCCTCATATCGACCAAATCGGTTCAGTGGTGTAGGATACGTGTGACGGGCGGACGGCAAAGTGCAGCCAATAGCGATTTTGCACTTTGAGGAAAATACCCTAAAAGTATGATAGCGAAGAAAAAGTTTCTACACTTAGACAAGGAAAGAGAGTTTCTACAGATAACTATGACAAGAGTAAATTTAATGTTAGTGACTTTGTTATTATAAAGTATGAAAGTAATTATTATCCAGGACTTATTAAATAGCTTGCAGTATAAAGAATTCGTTTTTTTTTAATGGATAAATATAAACAATAGAATTGAAAAATGTGCACATCTGGTTCACCGGAAATGATTAAAATTTCGTAATTTAGCGCGACAATCCTAATTTATTAATACTGCATACTCGAGTTCTACAAAAAATTATATTTTGTTGATAATTTCTAAACTACAAAGCACCACTAGGAGAATATCTGTCCCACCCATTAAAAGTGCATATCACAACTCTGTAAAAAAATGCAGCACATGCCTATGCAAATCCACATGACATTGCAGCAATTAACAGATTAGCACACTTATAATTTAGAAGAAAGAGCAATAACTTTTATTTACATAGATTTTATACTTAAAAATTAACTAATGTAAAAAGGAACGATAGGTATACGCTACCATAATATTATAAAATAATACAGTGCGTAGTAATAACTATAATACAATTATCGCAGACCAGCATTTTTATAATTCTTCTTGCACTTTATCAACGGCATCTTTATGGTTTTGTATAATAGACATTATCTTACTCGTGTATGTTGGATGTATAGAATGTTGAAGTTCATTTAATGACTCCTCAATCTAAAAATGTCAATTAACACAAAAATAAATAAAATATCTTACAATACCTGTTTCAATAATTGTATGGAAGTTTTTAATACTTTCTGCCACCTTTGCATTTCAAGGGAATGAAGAGTTTCTTGTTTTTGTAGTAATTTTATCCATTCATCGTGGGATGTTGGTGGATCTCTGAAAATGTTACAATACAATGCATAAATATTACATATTATTTAATTACATTTCTCTTATCTCAAAGAATAATATTTTACTTACTTTAAAACGTGTAAATCTAATAATGTGTACGGTGGCATATCCTCCAACAACCATAATTTGTAATACAGCATCACATTTAAGACTACTAACAAAATAAGTACACCAAAGACTATTAACGTTGCTAAATCTGAGGAAAATATACCACTAGATGACACCTTAACACTAGAACGAGCACCTAAAAGTAAAAGTCAGTGCAATAGAAATTGTGGTGTAAGGTACATACTAATTGCAGGATGAACAATTTCAGCGTCCGACCTTGGTATGGCACGTACCAATCTTCGTCTTCTCGACTTCCGTTTCAAAGTAGGTATGATCTCTTCACTTTCTGTGTATAGAGCTTTACTAAGCGATTTGAAATAATCTTCAAGCCCTTGCCAGCAATTCTTCTCTATGAAACCTGCAATGAACAGCAAGAGGTATTGAATATGCGTTCCAATTTGTTTGGAAACGAGCAAACAGCATAGTGACACTTTTAAAAAGTATGAGTAGGAAAAAGAAAAATGCTTGTTTGATAGACGATCACCTCAGTAGTGCATTACAACTATAGCATTTGCTGCCTGCCTACTAGGTAGTCATTTCATTTGAAGACCTTGCTGTGCTTTAATTCACTGTTTCTAACACAACTCCAGACTGAATTTGTTGCAATTTGTTGAATAGGTCTTGAAACGTTTAGTGATTTTCATTAATTAGTCAGTGTTATCATCAAGGCCCAGAGGTTCAAGGTGGGACCGGACCGACAGTGTCCGAAAGTAATTAATTTGAAAGGTAGTAACAGGGGAACAGGCGACCTTTGTAAACGCTCAAGATATGTTTGCGGATTTTGAAATTTGTAAAAAGCAATGAGTGATAAACGGTATTAAATTCCAAATAGCGACAGGTAAGTTAGAAGCATGTGACATTATCTGTGACAAATGTAGCACATTAGATAAAGGGATGACAAATAAATGATAAAAAAGTACTCGAGGGTAATTAGCAACAGAAAGTAACCTTTGAGCACTTAAATTAAAATGATAATGTGAAGTATGTGAATACAGAGTACCTATCGATAGCTTTTTATAAATGGTATTTTAACAAAAGTGCATTAAAGATATGACATAATCAATCAAGGCAAATATTCTGCGATAAATTTTTTGTTAGGTGTAGCCACATATTTTTTAAATGACATATAACCCAAGTCACATAACCGGTGAATCATTACAAACTAGGTATTCTGAATCATGCCATAGATAAATAATGTCTACTAGTACTAGTACTTAAGTACTAAGAGATCATTATGTTACCAGGGAAACATTCTGGAAAACATGAGTTACCTACCTTTTACCAATCCCCAAACTGTTTTCTTATATTTAATTTGTGCGCAAACAAGTAGGGAAGTCTGTGATTCTGATACTCGCTTCAGACAGTAGTGGATGGACACTGAAAACGTATCTGCATAAGGAATTCCACCGTTGACTGATTCAATATCGATAGCGTACAAAGTTCCAGCTTTACTGCATGGAAGCATAACCTGTAAAAAAATTTTAATTGATAACAGATGTTAAATTGACATTTCAATAGGATTAAAAAAGTAGGGTAAGTGTCTCTTAGACCTTATCAGATGAGAACACCAGGCGACGCCATTGTTGGCGTCGGCAAGTGTTGCCAATATGGGCAGCCAGTCACGCCACCGGCGGCACGGCCAGAGATTGTTGATTCAATACCCAGTGACAATTCTTGGCCACCGGTGTCTCTAGTGTAATAGGCTCCATAAGAACAAAAGTCAAGTAAATCGTCAGACCACCGGTTGCGTGGCCATGTGATCACTTTAACAGCAAGGGTGGATTAATTGAAACAAATCATTGTGCATTCTAATGGCATCTGTCATTCTTATTAAAAATGGGATGCGGAGCACACAATAAAATGAAGTTCAGAACAGAATACAATGCTGTTTCTATGGAAACGACAGAAGAACCTATGCTTGCTATTTTGGATGTCTAAATTATATACCTTTTTGAGAAGTTTTGTAATGATTTTTATGTTTTCTGCTATAAAATAAAGTTTTGTATTATACACGAGGACAAAGGGAAACTAACCACCTCGTAAATCTTTCACTCGATGGTTAAAACATCCCTTTATCATCTTGTATAATAAATAACTATTGTCAATTCAGTGTACTTTTTTAAATAAAATTAAATTGAAGACTAAGTAATGCAAGACTGTAAATTTGTTGTGTGCAACAACAGTATTGAGAATAGTACAAGCAAAAAATGGTTCCATGTATTATATTTCTTTATCTTGTAATGGATCAGTCATTAGGGAAATGAAATGACCCTCTCATTTCAGTTTGAAGATCCAATACATTCAAACAGCGTTCTCCATGTGGACAAGAATGTCTACTGGGCATTGAACAAAGGAGTTCGTCGACTTTTGTGTGATAGCTGAAAGTGAAATCCTGTTTTTTATTCGAAAGAATGGCAGCAGGAACAGTCGTAATGCTTGAAATAGCCTAGAAAGAAGTACTGTACTTGTACTCGTTCAGGGCGACCATTGACCTACCAAACGGGTGAATATCATGAGAATTATAAGCAGAAAAAATGACCGTTTTAAGCGTTTACATTATAAAAACTCAATAATTCAAAAATTTTGAAATAGACTATACCAAGTTACCCTTATTTCTTGGGCTGAATATGACAGATATAAAAATAGAGGGTTTCCATTTAAAAAGTAGAAGTGTGTTCGAGATAAGAGGGTTGTAACGAAGCACCCGTTTCCAGTCTTATAATGATCACACTGTCTATCGACAAATAGTTGGCACTTTGTTACTAAAAAACCATACTTTCTGAATTTAGTTATTTGCTGTACGAGACGAGGGACTGAACTGTGTGTGTTTTCATTTTTTTTAATTGTTTGTCTTACCAACGATAGCGCAGGTAAGTTTCGTATTGAATTTATAAATTTTGCAACCGAGAGATATTTCGATTGTTTTTGTTGGGTCCGCAAGCTACAATACAATGCAATACAATCTATTAAGATCTTTGAAACGAGCAACCAATATGCAACAACACAACATATGCAAATATGATTGATTAGCAAACGAATAGGAAAATTCGTGATTCAATATTTAGAAATCTAGAATTTTTCTATTTTTACCACCCGCGCACGTTAGTAAGGGAGGTATTGCATTGGGACAAAAAATAACCCACCACTTTTTTTGACGGAAATACACGGATTTAAGCACCAGGAATCTGTATCAAACAAAATCTCGATGCTGTCGATTTGTCTGTATTCCCATTTCTGTCTAAACGGCTGAAATTTGGTACACGTATTCTTAGAGATTAAAGAGCTGAAAAACTTTTGGGTAGAATCGCGCATGCGCAAGTGTGCCAAATTCTCATTTCCGGCTAAACGGCTGAACCGATTAGAACCAAATTTGATACACATATTTTTAGACATAAAAGGGCAGAATCACGCATGCGCAGGTGGTATCTGTGCTAGACGCAACACAATGTTTTGTATATCAACCACCTTTTATATTGTCATACAGCAAATTGATGGCTTTTTTAAATATCTTAAAAAACATAGTATTGCTTAGGGGGAAACAAGTACCATTTTTGATGTACACCAAAAATTCAAATTCAAATTAATTCACGTTAATTCGAAATAATTCACGTAAATTCAAATTAATTCCCGTTAATTCCAATTTATTCACGTTAATTCAAATTGAATCACGTTAATTGACATTAATTCTCGTTAATTCTAATTAATTCACGTTAGCTCAAATTAACACAGAGGGGTGTACACCAAACATTCAAAGTTATGTTTCCATCTAGAATTTTTCCAAGGCAAATTTTTACCAGGACTAGAGTTTGTGAGTAAAATATTTCAAGGGCGGATTTTTTCTGAGGACAACTTTTTTACACAAGTATACCAGGGAAAAATTTTCCAAGAGCAATTTTATCATCTTAAATTTTCAAGACGAGAATTTTTCAATACAGAATTACCCCAGGGCGAATTTTTCGGAGACGAAATTTTAAGTGCCAAATATCCCAAGGCCTATTTTGTTGGAGGCTAAATTTTCCGTATGCGAATTTTCGGGAAATGAATTTTTCCACGACAAATATTCCCAAGATGAATTTTGAGGGGACAATTTTTGTGGGTCAAATATTTCAAGGGCGATTTCTTTACGTTTCTGGAGACAAGTTTTCCACGCAAGTTTCCGGGGCGAGTTTTTTAGCGAGTATTCCAGGGCAACTTCCAACGCAAATTTTTCTTTTGACGATTTTTTATATTCGAAAAATGATTTTTTCAACATTTTCTGTAGACGAATTTCCTTTCCTGGACGAATGTTTCAAGGGGCCTACATTTTCCGTAGGTAAATTTTTCAGAAGAGAATTTTTTATAGCGAATTTTCCCAGAACGATCTTCCTTGGAGTTTGTGGGAGTCAAATATTCCAAGGACGACTTTATTCGGTAGGCGAATTTTTTAGGAAAAAAGTTTTCCAGGAAGAACTCTCCCGAAAATTTTTGGGGCTGAGGGCCGGCCCGTGTGGCGCAGTTCAGTTAAAGCTGAACTGTGGTGCTAAGGGTCCCTGGTTCGAATCCGGGTTCGGGTATGGATATTTGTAAATGTATAGTTGGTTGGGTTGGTAGAGCAGCCTCGGCTGAAACCCCGCCCACTCAAAAATATTCCCTGTATGAATTTACGAGTTGAATCTTGCACGGAAGCAATTTAAAAAGGCAATTTTTTCATAGCGAATTTGTCTCGTATGTTTTTTTCGGAGGACAAGTCTTTAGGGGTCAAATATTCCAGGGGCGATTTTTAGAGTGCATCAAATTTTCTGGAAACGAATTAATTATTCACGCAAGTATCCTAGCGAAGGTAGATTTTTAAGAGCCTTTTTTTATGAAAGCGATTTTTCTAGGGAATTTTCAGGACATTTCCAAGGGCGATTTTTTACAGGAATCGGCAATTTTCGAGAAACGAATTTTCCAGGGCAAATTTTGTCAGGACAAGTGTTTGTGGGTCAAATATTCCAACGGAGATTTTTTCGAGACTACATTTTCTGGGGGCAAATTATTCACGCAACTATTGCTAGGAAGAAGTTTTCCAAGAATGATTTTTTCGTGTCTAAATTTTCAGGACAAGAGTTTTTCCATAGCGAATTTTTCCGGGGCGAGACGTGTTTTTAATGTCAAATATTCTAAGAGCGATTTTTTCGGGGCTAAATTTCCAGGACACAAATATGTTATACAATTATTCCAGGAAAGAATTTTCCGGTGCGCATATCCCCAAGGCGCCTTTTTCAAGCCTCCATTTTCCGGAAGCGAATTTTTCCATAGGGAATTTTCCCAGAAGAAATTTTCCGGGAACAAATCTTTGTAGATCAAATACAATAGTGATTTTTACGAGGCTACACTTTCAGGATGAGAATTTTTCTATAGCGAATATCTCCAGTGAGAAACGTTTCCGGGAACAAGCCTTTAGGGATGAAACATTCCAAGGGCGATTTTTTAAGCGCAACCAAATTTTCTGGAGCGAATAGGACAATTTTTTCAGGAATCGATGATTTTTTTAGAAATGAATTTGTCTTAAGGGGAACAAGTACCATTTTTGGTGTACACCAAACATTCAAATTCAAATTAATTGACGTTAATTCAAATTAATTCACGTTAATTCAAATTAATTCACATTAATTGTAATTAATTCACGTTAATTCTTATTAATTCAGGCTAATTCAAATTAATTCAGAGGGGTGTACACAAAAAATTCAAAGTTGTTTCCCTCTAGGGTATTGCATTTGTGAAACAAAAGTTGCCGCCAAATTCCAGTCAAACCGGAAGTTTCAATATGCGATCGGATAAATCGTAATGTCACATATAAAATTATATTCGGCAAGTTTTTCGTATCTCACCACATAACAGAGATATTGAGGTGACTCTCTTATCTCGAACACACTGTATACATCCCTCTGGTTCCATATTCCACTGCAAGGAATAGTCAAGAGGAGCAATGTGATCGCACACGAGAAGAATTGAATAGATGTGGATTTCGAGTAAGGTCGTCTATTTTAATCTCCTCTATCGCCCACTATTTTTTTGACATGTTTACTTATTATTTACGATCTATTACTTTAAACCTCCAAAATCATTGAAAACATTGAAATGGTCCATAAATATTCAAATCACGATATTTTACACACTAATTTGCGCGATTCATATATAGGCAACATTTGTTATGTTTGAGGACCTTGAAATAGAAGAGCCCGTACAGATCCATACCCCCCCTCCCTTTAATCCAAAAATGACAGGAAAAGAGTCGATTCAATACGTTTTTTTGCACACCTCAATGACTCGGAACAAATATTCTGTCACAATCAGAACGGCAAACCAGAGAGAAAAATTCCAAGGTTAGAAACAGAACCAAAATAGCATTGTCAAGTGCGATTACATATTCATTTATTGTAATTAATTAATGAAAATGACTACAACAATTACCTACGCTATTATAAAAAATTGCCAACTATTTAATTATTATTGTAAATGCGAATACAGTGAATCCCCTAGAAATTTAACGCAATTACCTCGCCCAAGTTAAACACTATCTATCCACAGATTTAGATAATTTTTTGATTGGTCATTGTTGAATGTAGCAGTGCTTAACGCAACATATTTCATATCAGTTTAAACAAATAACGTTACAGTATTAACTAGAAAAAATTCAACACAATTATTACTAATTTGAACATATGAATCATTTCACTAATATTTGCATTTTAAATGGGTGTAATTCCAAGTGAAATGTGATAATGAAATTTGTGACGCAGGGAATAGCCTATCGATACCGACTTATCAATATTATAGATAGCTTTGATAAAGTATCTTTATAGTAAATAGCCTATATAAGCGAACTAGGGATAATTCTAATTTCAGTAACCACTTGAATAGTCAACATGAGGTTCACATTGGTGCTCTTAATTACATTTTTCGTAGGGTTAACATATGGAAACGATTCCAGATGGAAAGATTGTCAAGATACGTTTTGCAAAAGGCTTAGAGGAAGTCCAGGGAGTACCAAAGTATCATATTCCGTTGATTTGGCAAGTCTAAAATTGAAAGAAAAGAAAGTGGTGGGGGTTTTAAAGCCTAGTGTTACAAATGCAGTGACATTAACACTCACTATAAGCGTATTGGAAGACAAAATATGTCACATTTCCATCGACGAAGAGAAAGCTCCAACAACGCCGCGTTATAAAGCACACGACGCTCTGGTTGAAGGTGGAAAAAATTTTAAAATAGTAGAACCCAAAGTTTCTGGCAACACTGGTACTGCTACTGAAGCTTCAATCACGTACGACGACCTCAAGGTTACCATTTACAAGAGTCCCATGAAATTTGAGTTTTACAAGAACGACACCCTGTTTTCAGTTGTAAATGCAAATAATCGTTTTGTATTCGAAACATCAGGCACAGAAACAGGAGTCGGTTTGGACATTTCATTTAAAAATGTTCAACGTGCATATGGACTACCGGAACATGCAGACCATTTATCACTTCGAACCACCGTAAGAGAAGAACCGTACCGTCATTTTAATTTGGACTACGGTAGTTACGAATTGGAATCCACTCAAGCTTTATATGGAGCAATTGGAGTCCTGTATGCGCACGGCAACAAGCTCTCATCGGGTGCTTTTTGGTTAAACGCGGCTCAAACCTGGACTGATATCACCAACAGCCCAAATCAAATTGATGCCTACTTTATGAGCGAATCGGGTGTCCTAGATTTGTTTATACTACCCGGACCTACACTTCCTCAGGCGGTTAAGCAGTACAGCACGTTAACAGGTACCGCATCTTTACCTCAGTACTTCACTTTAGGATACCACCAAAGCAGATACAGTTACATGAATCAAGATGATGTTGTTGACGTAGTTAAGAATTTCGATGAAAAATTGCTACCAATCGACGTGATGTGGTTAGATATCGATTACACCGATGAGAAGAAATATTTTACTTGGGATCCTAAAAGATTTAGCAAGCCCCAGGAATTAATTGATAACTTAGCAAAAACTAATCGTAAACTGGTAGCTATTATCGATCCACATATTAAAATTGACGACAATTATTTTCTCCATAAAGAGGCCAAGGGGAAATATTATGTGCGCGATTCTTCAGGAACAAAGGACTTCGAGGGAAAATGTTGGCCAGGTATGAGTAGCTACTTAGATTTTCTTAATCCCAAAGCAAGAGAATACTACGGTAACTTATATCTGACAAATCACTTTGAGAATAAGAATGTACATGTATGGAATGATATGAATGAACCTGCAGTTTTTGAGCAACCAGCAGACGAACACTCAATGCCACTTGATGCAACGCACTATGGAAATCGCAAACACAGAGACGTTCATAACATATACGGATTTTATCAAACTGTTGGAACAAAAGAGGGAATGATGAAACGCAAAGACAAAGTGCGTCCATTTATATTAACGAGGTCCCACTTTGCTGGTACCCAACGTTATGCGGCAGTATGGACCGGTGACAATGTAGCCACGTGGGATTATATGAAAATCAGTTTTCCAATGTGTCTTACAGAAGCTTTGGCCGGTATCAGTTTCTGCGGAGCCGATGTTGGCGGTTTTTCGGGAATTCCTGATGATGAACTATACCAAAGGTGGTATCAAGCCGGAGCCTGGCTGCCTTTCTACCGTGGACATTCCGCTATAGATGTGCCGAGACGTGAACCCTATTTATATGGAGATGACGTTCAAGGACGTATACGGGCAGCACTTCACCAACGGTATATCCACATTCCCATGTGGTATACCTTATTTTACGAACACGAGAGGGCAGGAGAACCGGTAATTCGTCCGATCACTTACCACTACCCTGCTGAATCCGATGCATTCGATATCGAACATGAAGTGCTAATAGGACAGAATATTTTAGCTGCACCGGTCATGGATAAGGGAGTTTTGCATCATAAAGTTTACTTGCCTGGTGGTAGTGGAGAGGTATGGTACAACATTGATGACAACTACAGACCATACAATGGAACCGGTTACCATTTAATCCCAGTAAATCTCAACTCAATGCCAGTATTCTACAAAGCTGGGAGCATAATATCTAGAAAAGACGCAATGAAGCTTACTTCCATTGACACCCTCAAAGATCCGTACACCCTTTACATTGTGTTAAATGGAAATGGATATGCAGAAGGAAAACTGTACGTTGATGATGGTGAAACATTCTCGTATCAAGACAAGAAATATTATTACGTTAACTTTGTTTTTGAAAACAATACTTTAACTGCAAAAGCTCTAAGCAATACCACCTACGCAGATGCGGCTCCAATAACCAATTTGGTTATTATCAATCCCCCTCACACTATAAAACAAGTGAAACAAATTAATGGAACTTCCGCTATTGATTTAAATAGCAGCTACAATGAAAAGCACGATTTATTATTTGTCACTAACTTCACCGCCAAATTACAAGAAGGTATTGACATTAAGTTTACGTCATCTGCATCCATATTAACTTTAAGCATCGGAGCATTCATAGCAGTATGCATCTCAATAGTTTATAACATATAATAATTGTACCTAATAACTTAATGTAATAATTTCGATAGTTAGTAAATTGGAAATTTTTTATCGATGTTTTATTGACTTACCTGTGTCTCGGTGACTTGGCATGTTTTAGGTCCGACAGATTGATTTAAAGCGGCGGTCAGGTTTACAGTTCTCGATTTCGTATTATCTGTAGGATTCTGTGTCCAAGCTGTCTGTGTGAGATCGGTCGTTCTTCGAAACGCGTGAAAGTCCAAAAAAAATTTGGAACTTGTAAAGAGCAACGTGAATACTTGATCAATGTGCATACTAATTATTTCGTTTAATAATTCTTTACCATCGTGGGAAGCCGAACAAGTGGCCTTTTCAAATCTGTAAGAAAAAATTATGTTAGTCGGAAAAGCCTCGGGAATAATATCATTCCTTTGATTATTACTATATTATTATATTTCAATATAAAATTGCGCTTTGCCACCACAGTCGTTCCTTTTCCTTTGTGGAATTTTAATCTAATTTAAATAATCATACTCAAGAATAAGTAAATTTTTATTTTACTGAAATCTATTATTTCAGGCAGATAAAAAAATTGCAATTCACTAATAAAATATTTAAAACTAATGCACTTGAAACTGTACAGGTCTTGTAAAAACCATAAAGGACTATTAGACACCCTTAAGACCGCCGGAACGTATGAAAAACAAACGTTCACTAAAAAAAGCATTTAAATTCTCTGTTTAAAAATATATTATATAACACTAAAGGAATTCAAAAATTTCAATATTGATTCAAAAAAATCAAAAATCTTTTTTAATTGTTTAACCTTTTTTTATATTTCTTTAAATCCTGTTTATTTTCTTTGAATCACTTGAATCTTTTCTTAATATCATTCTTGGTGTGCTAAATTTGTGAAAAAAGATACAATATGCTATTTACAAGTTTCAATATTCATGCTTAATATATCTGACTGTGCAGTACTGCACGAATTTTCCAGTGGAATATCGGACTACCCGTTTAGAGGGTTGTTTTATTTCACAAGTTTCTTTATAATGATTTTTTTTCTAATCTTCCACTTTCAAAATAAGACTACGGGGTAAGGTCAAAGGGCTATCAGACCTAACCTATTTTTATTTAAATAGAACACCGTGTATACTTTATTTAAAAATGTAGCATATTAATTCTCTTTTAAACAACACTAAAGCAAGTCAAAATCAAAATTTGAACATATTCGCTCGCTTAAAAGGTACCGGGGAAACTTAAAAAAAGAAATATGTTTATTAAAAGATTTCTTTATGGTTGTTGATTAATCTGCCGTATTCAATGTAGGTATATGAGCTCAGGTAAAAGGTTAACGGACCTAACCTAATATTTTTTAAGTGGATTGATAAAGACACTAAACCTTCCCCATACTTCGTTTAATTATTTCAGGTATTAGAATAAAGGCATTAGGTGACAGCGACTATAGTTTCGACCCGAAGGTCATTATCAAGCTGAAATATTATAATTTTAGTGTCTTTATCAATCCACTTAGTCAATATCACCCCGTTTTGAGTTGTTATAAGATGGATAGCTACCAACTAATTTTTTTTATTGAACACCCTGTATACTTCACTTAACAAAAATAGCATATTAAATTCTCATTTTAACAATGTAACACTAACGCAATCCAAAATCAAAATTTGAAAATATTCGCTCGCTTAATAGATGCGGAGGAAAATTAAAAAATCGTCAATTTTTGACCCAGAAAAATGTTTATTACAAAATTTCTATATAATGATTGTTGAATAATCGGCGGGCTTCAAAGTAAGTATACAGGCTCAGGTAAAAGCTCATCGGATCTAATCTAATTTTTTTAAATAGAAACATAAAAATTGTCAATCCAGAATGACCCTATTTTATTAGTTAAAAGAGACACAGAAAAATGTTTATTACAAAATTTCTTTATAATGATTGTTGCATAGTCTGCTCAAGTATAAAGGTTATCAGACATAATCTAATTTTTTTAAATAGAACACCCTGTATATTTTACTGAAAAAAATAACATTAAATTCTCTAATAAACAATATAACTTCTTCTCTAATCCTTATGCCTTCAGGCGTCGCATGTTGGTTTTTTGTCTTGTATCCAATTCCTCCATTCTTTCCTGTCTCTTGCTAGGATTTTCATTTCCTCTACCGTCTTTCCTCTTTCTATCCCTATTTATTGGATTTGCTCCATCCATTTTCTTCTTGGTCTTCCCCTTTACTTCTTCCTTGGATTTCCCATCTCCATTATTCTTCCTGTAAGTCTGTCTGTCTTTTTTTCCATTATTGGCTCTTGTTCTGCTATTTCTCTGATCATGTCATTTCTTGGTTTTTCCAGCAATTTTTCTAAGATGTTTAATTTCCATAGCATTTACTTACATGCGTCTTTTTTTCTTAATGTCCAGGGTTCACAATACTTGGTATTGTTACTAAGGTGTGTTATTAAGGTGTTATTAGGTGCTTAAAAAGGAATCGTTTGACCTATTTGAAAAGTATTAAATTGAAATTTATTGTTCTGCCGGAGTTATAGTAGCGCCTGCCTGGGACCGGAGAGCACGATGTAAAACCTGAGACTCCGGCTGAATGCCGGACATCTGGCAACCCTGGTGCAAACTTAGGAAAATCCTACTATAAGTGCTTTTATTTTTTTAATGAATAAAATGATCATAGACATTAAATTTATCTAACTTTCGGGAATTCAGCCTGTTTCTGTTTTGTTACGGCCAGATTATTGGATTATTTAAAAAACTGAGAGTAGATTTTGTATTTAATTGTTCATCGATTGAACGCCTGCGTGCGGGGTATGTGTACAAAAACAGGCTCTCTTTCCTTCAGCGTCTTCTTTAATTTTGTTTTGTATGTTTTGCGGAATAAATTGTTGTCTTTGTCATTTAAACTGTGCATTAAATCGAACCCAAAGTGCGTCCCAGATAGAGTTATCATGTCAGATTTTTTCTATTCGTGCCCAAGAATTATGCCAGGTGTTAATGAAAATGTGTGTACTTAATTCTCTGGAAGTTGATTGAGATTATAGAGTCTCAGAGACCATTATATCTTATTTCCATATTCTTCAACCTGACTGGGATTAAGGATTGTTGAGCTGAACTATAGTTCACGAAGTATTCTTCAACAATACATTTGCAAAATAATTGCTTTCAAATAAACAATATTCTCGAAGACTATTAGCTAGGTCATTTCTGAGCAAATGGCATATTGATATCATAAATATTATTCTGTTTGGAAGTCTTTTTATCACTTCTGAAAAACTGCTTGTAGTCTATTTCATTACACCAAAAAATGAGCAATACCAATAGGTCAATCTCTTCTCCTATCACTATTGTATTTTTAATTTTTGAAGATTCCGCATTCCACTGCAGTATTAACACTGTCCACATCGGAATCATCAACTGCATGAATTAATGAAAATCCATGTTGCTGTATTTCTTCAGCGATTAGAGTTATTATTTTCTGCTTGTTTTCCATATCATTTCCTGTGAATGTCATATCTGGTGGGAAGATCACAGAAGGAAAAATTGCATTTGTTCAGCCAACATGGGTTATGTTTTATTGTGTATTCTGATGTATACCTAGGTAACTATCAAAAACTAGAGTATGACGGTAAAGCAAAAGTACATTGTAAATGGGATGCTGTAGTACACGATAAGACCTATAGGTACTTTGAGTGCACATTTTTTCGAATATGGTGGTCATTTCAATATTTCAAAAGAAAATAGCTAAACATTTCGCCTTTTTAAAAAAAAAGTAGTTATTTTTTGTTTATTTTTGTATTTTAAACATTTCTGCCAAATTTCCTAAATAAAAGTTATACCTACATTTTTAAATGGACTCATTTGTGTTGCAACTTCAAATAAAAGTTGCAATAGTAAAAATAAAGCTTTCCGCCATAACGAAAATGCGCGCCAAAATTTAAATATGTATTTTTAACCATCCCTACCAGTTTAATTTAAGAATACAGTATTATATAATTGAAAGCAATTAAGTACTTACTTGCTAGTTTTTTCTACGTCTGATTCAGTAGTATCAGACATATCGGTTGGTAATTGACTATCCGAATTAACATTATTGTGGTGATTTAAACTTGGCTGGATGCCATCTTCGTTTTTTTCATCCACTGCCATTGTTTCAGTAATTACAAGCTCCGAAGTGGAAGTACACTCCTAAAGAAACAAAAATTTTCATCTTAAAATGTAACGTGACCGATACCATTTTATGTTAATTGTGCTACACAATTCTTTATTTTTAATACGTGAGACTAATAATAGCCACAATCGACGCCGTTAAAATACAAATGACCTGGACATCTTTTTTGCTGCAATCTTCGATAACGTAGATTATTCAGCTTGTTAAATAAGTCAAAGGTCAATGGTACAGGCCATTAATTCATATATGAGGTGTCATTTTTGTAGCACAGCGAATTAAGGATAATCGACTAAAGCCAAAATTACCTCAATAAAATGGTCTTCTGAAATTGGTGCCACTAATTTATCGTCTTCTCCACCAGGTGGGACGTAGTCATCATCATCACTAGTTAAGCCTAATTCATCACCATAACTCTGATGGATCTATGTAAGAAAACAACTTCATTAAGTACATGCAGCAATTATAATAACAATTTTGATGTGTGGATTATTATACAAAACATTGGGGAATTGTTGACAATTTTATACCTTTTAACTCTATTGTGCACGATTTTAATTATCGTTTTGACCAAGGACTTGATGTTAAAGTTGTGCACGCAAAAATACCCAAAATGGTATTGTATGTTTATACTGGCCTGCAGCAACACAAGCTCTAGTGTCCTCCATAAGGTGTACACACAGATTTAAACTTTTATTTACCACAATTAGAATACAATGAGCGTGAATGTTTAAATTTGCTCACAAGGCAACCTGTTTCATTAAAAAATTGGTAACTGACATAAACATTTGTCATTTTTTAATGAGAGAAGGACCTACCATTCTTTTTCTTTGGAACGCCCGCTTTGTGAAAAATTTAACCTTTTTCTTATACAGCTTCATTGTGCCACATAACAAAACAATTAACTGGCCAATAATTATAATTTGAAAGTAGATAAAATAATCAACACGTGATTGTGGTTTTCAGATATATTTTCTATTACATAGGTGAATATTAACAATTATTAATTATACGCATGTTCTAGTTTACCTGATCTGATGTGTTTTCTAGTACCTGCCTTTTTTTCGCCTATCACAAGTTAGTAAGTGAGCTTTATTTGTCACCACTGTATTAGAACATATTATCGCATACCTAGGAAAGTAAACATGAACAATTATGAGATTTTGTCAAAGTAATCAGAAACTTATTTATGACTGTGCCACGATCTTAATTCTGTGGTCATTTTTCACAACTGATTATAAGAACTCTTGAGCTTTACAGTGATATACATCATTATTCAAACAATGCATTATTTGAACAGGTAATAGAAAATTGAACTATGGCATAAAATCCCTAATTTACAATATACACTGCAGGGTGCATGTCCAATACATTACGAGATCTTTAATTTGCAGTAAATCTCATCTGCCATTGTCAGTCGAGCAACAACAATGGTCAAAATTCCATGAAATTTGCTGTCCGCATACTGTGTTTGAGAGTAAAATCGCCCAAAATATGATGGTGCATTGACTGTGCCTTATTTTAGGTGAGACTGCAGTGTATCTCAGCTCTTTTTAGTTTTTTAGTTTAAAGACTTGCGGTTTTCACGACCCTGTGCCACTTTCTTGTGAAACCTTTAATACCACAAACCGAATCAATCTAGATACAGGGTGAAAAGAAAAGTCTGACTTTTTGGAATGTATTACCATATCTTACTACCCATGTAAGATAGAAAGTGGTAAAAACTACCAACTTTAGATTTTTTTACGTAGAAGCCAGTGGCGTAGTCAAAAAAAGTTTTTGGAGAACCGTTTCTGAGATTTGACCAAGAGTTGGTATTTTTTAAATACAACACCCTGTATACCAACATAAAATTTTTGGATTCTTTTTCCTTATTAAATTGGCTGTATCACAACCTATAGTTTATATTTTCAAAACCTTTTTTTAATGGTTTTTAAACAGTAGGCCACTGATTTAGTTTTGTTAATTGTATCCATGGCAAGTAAAAGTACCTAATCAATAAAAATCGCTGACGGTAGAAACACTTTCTTTATATCATTATATATCATATTTTTCAAAATTTTGATATGATGTGTCAATGTAATTAGGAAAATGAATGCAAAAAAAGTGACATTAAGATATACAGGGTGTTGCGTTTAAAAATACCAACTTTGGGTTAAATCTGAGAAATGGTGGTCCAAAAAAATTAACTACGCCACTGGATTCTACGTAAAAATATTGTAACGTTATTTATAAATTCGGGTTCGATTTATATTAATATTTATTAAACAGAACTAAAACACTATAAAATCCGTACAATTTATATCGATTATTTATATCACTCACACTTCGCAATTTATATTTCCGCGCTCGATGTTTACGTACTCGTTCGGTAGTAGACTGCCGCGATGTTCGGTCCGCAACCATTTATACACGCAAGCAATGTAAGTCCAGTACATTCTCGAATATTCGAGCGCGTAGAAAATTCCAGAGCGCCAAAGGCGACGTCAGCATTTCCGTTACAATATCTAAAATAGGCAGTTTTTACCTTTTTTTACCTGTGTAGTAAGATATGATAACGTCCCAGTCAGTCCCAAACAGTCAAACTTTTCCTTTATTCCTGTTCTCAGAAACAAGAGAAGCTAGATTTACTGTTTGTGGTATTAAAAGTTTTACCAAAAAAAGTTGCACAGGGTCGCGAAAACCGCAAGTCTTAATCTTTAAAAACAGCTCAGACACACGGTACACCTATAGCACTTTGTTGTTAATGCATATGTTTATGAGTTCACTAAAATTATGATTCATTTATACGTAGATATCTCCAGATAGCATTTAATACTTCCGCCCGGTGCGCCATCGTGGGTAGGAATTATGGAAATAGTTTTACAAAATCAATAAGGGCTTGAATACAGTCAGTTTCATTCTTTCTCAATCTCACAAAATGCGAATTTCAGATTACATAAAATCTTCATGCAACTTGAAGAGACTTTGATCCTTTCTGATATTTTTATTAATTCCTACTTTAGAATGGTGCTTTTTTAAATGAGAGTATGAAAAAAATATTGATCTCAATGGAATTTTAAACAGGAATATAAAGAATTCAAAAACATGTCAATCTTGTCATCGCCTAAGAGTAATGGTGTGGCATCAGAAATAGTCATTGAACTAGATACTCCTCATAACTGGAATGGCATCCCCCGTAAACAAACGATGCAAGGGCGCTGTGGCAGAGAGATAGGCGGCACTTGATTTTGATTATAGATGCCGTTCCAGTTACAGAGTATCCAGTTCAATGGAAATAGTAGTTGCAATTTGAAAAAGTTGAAGTTTTTGACATTTTTTGATTGCCAACTTTGAACAATCGCAGCAGCCCTGGAATCTTTTTCAAGACATCCCCTAAAGGTGGGTTCATAGCTCTCCGTTCATCCGTTGCGTTGATCCGTCAAACGGATAGTACATTTTGTTAAGGTTCATAGCAATCCGTCCACATTGTACATTTGCAACGTATACCTAACCATAACCTAAATTTTATTTTGTACTGTACCCTCCGTGATTTTCAGTATGAAAAAATGATACGAAAATAAGAACACGTTGCTATCTGAATATCACCGTGAAGAACGAATAGGCGAACACTGTTAACGTACCAAACATAACCTCACTCTTGTTAAAAACGGACCAACGGAAACGAAAATGTTCAACTTCAACCAACTTTTCCGTCGTAAACGGACGACGTACGATTTAAAAATTTGCTGTCTTCTGATTGGCTAACGGACAAACGGAAACGTATGAACGGAGAGCTATGAACTTACCTTTAGACTTTACGGATTCAATTATAAAAAAGAGCACTCACTTATCCTGAACGGTTTAAGAAATCTGAATTTGTGAATGGACCCTTGCATCTTCAAATGTTTACAGAAAAATTGACATATGTCAAACATTGATTTTTAGGCCCATTTTAAGAAAAAAACTTGCTAAGAACGTATGTCCAAAACGTCTCAACTTTTGAGATACAGGGTGTTACGGCGATGGATCTGTATCACAACCTGCAAAATGAATGAAATGAAGTACTGTGAAAGAAGACCATTTTAAGATAATATAACATGGTTACCACCTATGAAATGTAATTTTCGTTTCTTCTGTAGCTTTTGACCTTGTTATATTCAGTGGCGTACCTAGGTATTTTTCGAAGCGGTGCCGGATCAGGTTTTGGCGCCTTATTAGTTACCATTGAGCTCTAAGTAATAAAACACTGTACATTTTTGAGAAACTTTACACGAACTTTTAAAAGTACTGCACTACTTAAATTTTAGAATAATGCTTTGAATAACGAAGTCTTTCTCTCAACGAAGAATAGAAATACATTTATTTATCATGTTTTCAATTCTCGAGTCAAATTTAGCTATGACATAGGGTACAAGTCGTAGAAATGATTGCGTCTTAGAATAAGGGTGCAAATGCTGGTCACACTAATACAGACTATTGTATAGATCACAAATAAAGTATTATTATTATTAGTTTAAATTTGCAGCCTTTTCCTACCGCTATAACTTTGTTCTACAAGGACCATTCAGAAAGTAACAGACGTTTTGAAATAAACAATTAAGAAAGTGTAAGAAACAACTGTTATTATACACGCTCTTAGGCTGTTTTTCAACATAGTCGCCATTCATATTGAGGCACTTAACTTAGCGTGGTACAAGTGTTTTGATTCAAACTTTGTATACATGCGCCAACTGTGAGGGCGTCAGAAGTGGGTACCGACAAAGGGAATATGGTAGCCCCCAACAAGATCCTATTGATTGTGCAGTCAAAACTGGCTAATAAAAGTACTGATCTGCCACACAAAAATGCCTTGGATCTCACAAGGTGACTTTGATAATTTTTTTAATTTATTAACAATGTTACGTTCATCCTAAAGGACCGTAAATTTAGTTTTCATTATATTTCAGCGCACCCTGTAGTCGACTTCAGCAAACTATTAGAATTTAACTGCCGTTCTTGTCTTTTATGACTGACCTATACGGTACACCACGTACTGGCCATCCCGACTTAGTGCCCTCGGTACTTCAGCGCCTCTGGCGCACCCTCCCGCCTTCAGAGCGCGGTGCCGCGGCACCTTTGGCACCTACCTAGTTACGCCACTGGTTATATTACACGATTTACAGCTATCCATTATGAGGTGAGAACAAAACAAAAGGACTCAAAACCGCTTCCATGCAATTTAATTGAGTGTAAAGGGGGGGGGGGCACTACATGTTTCGACTTAAACAAACTTCACACTTTGAGTATATAATGGACTTCCAAGTTACCAAAAGCTATTCATTTATATTTCACTTTACTGTAAATGTCAATTAATTGTCAAAGTTGGCCATACTGAGAAGCCTAATTGGATCCCAACAAGCGTACGTTATATGTCTATGTAACCCATTGAAATAAAAGACTAAGGAAGGAGGGTTACATACATATAACGCACGCTTGCTGGGATCCAATTAGGCTTCTCAATATGGCCGCTTTGACAATTAAGTGACAGTTACGGTAAAGTGAACCATAATGGTTAGCTGTAAATCGTGTAATGTAACAAAAGTCGAAAGCTACAGAAGAAACAAAAATTACATTTCATAGGTGGTAACCATGTTATACTTCTTAAAATGGTCTTCTTTCACCATACAGCATTTCATTTATTTTGCAGGTTGTGATACAGATCCATTGCCGTAACAATAGTGTGTAAAACAACATTTTGAAATACAACTACTTTTCAGATTTCCTGAATGGAGAGATAGATGGATTTCGTTTAAAAGAAGTGAGGAATCTGTCAGTAGCAAAATGTATGTAATGTCAGTACTATCCGTCACAAAATTCAATATATTAAATGTGTGTAATCCTAATAGGATCCTAGCTAATATATATAAGCTCCTTCCTTAGTCCTTTACTTCAATGCAAAAATCGAAGTACCTTGCAAAAGTAGGAGAAAAGCTATACTTTTCTTTCAGTTCTTTATAGCATTTGTTTCTAAAAATCTTATCTGACAAACAACACAACCTTATTACTTTTTACCTGTTACCTGCTTGGGGAAAATGATACAGCTGTAAACTGTATGTGGTAATTCATAATTAAAAAAATACCAACGCGTTAATCTTGCATACTCAACGTGGACCTACAGAATACTATTGGTACAACAGTTTGTTCGGAGAAGTCTGTGATCAATATTTAAATTAGGTACAACATACCTACTTCTATAAATTATGAAATAAATTATTTTCCTTCATTTGGTACTGATACACTAACACTTATTATAACAATTGTTTATCGCCTCAATAAATAAGTAACGTGGCCGCTGAATACCACAATAACAACTACCATTTGTCTCAATGATAAATTTTGATTAATGTGAATTTATCACTGTAATCTTCAATATATTTTCCTCATGTATTCCGTCTTTAAGATAAGAGCTTGTCAATATAATCAGCTGCCGAAAGACAACAAACATTAATTATGTAATTACCACAACCTTACGCAATTATTTACGAATATGTGATTCTAAAAAGACGGGTTCAACAAAATAATAAACCCTGTACCTACCCACTGCCACATTTCTTGACTATACATAGGTTGATCCAATAATGCATTTTGCCAAATGCGAAATACCATTAAATAAGTTTTATCTCTAGCTGCGAAACTTGTAAAAAAATACTTTTCGTTCTTTGTATTTATCTGTATAGCGTTTGGAATGACCAACGCTGTTTTTTCCTTTGTAATGGCAGAAACGTCCTTCCATCTAATGGTAACATTGGTCTCCCATCCGAATATATTTGCGTAAAAACACAGAAAATTTTGCGAAGCATAAAGTCTGCCGTGAACCAAAATCTCTTTTTGTATAGCGCAGGAGTAATCTGCAAATATGGAACAGTGTACATACCTTTATTCATTAGAGCTGTGCACGTTGATAAAATTAAATAGCTTACAATTAAAAAGACGGCTATGCATGTTGTGATAAGATTAGATTTGAAATAATCGAATCGTAAACCCCGATATCGATAAGTGAAATTTGAAGTACTTTAAATTTACTGTGCAAAAATACTTACCGACTACCAGTCGCTCATCATCAGGTACATCTCGAAATATTCGTTTGAAATCCTCCGATTTGGACTTATAAGTTGGGTAGAAAGCATTATACCACGCAGATTTTCGTTTCACTTTCTCAACAGATCGACTTTCCTTTTTCTCCTTTAATATACTATTTCCATCGCCGACAACGCTTTCTATATTACTACTTCGACTACTGGCATTACTTTCTTGACCCTAGATTAAAAATATTATAGTTATTTATACTGCCATTAAAACTTTATCGTTTTGTTATGTAAACTATTTTTATTACAGTTCGATTTTTTTGTACTGCACAGTACACTCTCAAAAATGTACATCCTTCTCCAGAGAAAAAAAAATACATGTTAGCTTAGCATTAAAAGATAGCTAATAGTCAGTAAAAAGTGTATGTGGCAGTGTGCATTTTTAAAACTAATCGCAAAATTCGCACTAATAAAGCAGCGTTTGACCCTTTATAGAAATACTTAAGCTAATGTTGCAAGAAAATGCAGATGAGTCTTTACAACTCTCTACTCTGCCCTAAAAAGGTTAGCAGAGACAACGACAACAAACTCTTTCGTAGCAGCAATGAATGATCTAATGTGTACTGTGAGCACATTGCAGTTTGTACAGAATCATCTCCAGAAAGCTTGGATCCTTAACGCATCCATGATCTCCATGGCGGAGGGTCCCAAATGTCTTCTAAAAATGCATCGAGACTTAAGGAATTCTAATGTTGATGTTGCAAGCGAGTCTTCTGGATGTGGTGGAACAAAACCAGGCGACTGGAAAACAGCTACCTTGGTAGTTCAGATGGGGCATTAACTTTTTCTACCAATTCGCCCTAAAGTTTCGTCTGGTAAACGCACCCAGTGACTGTATAGACAGTCTACCATGTTTTTTTTCTAAATTTATCATTGAACTCCTTCGTTTAACCAAAGTGCTATGGATACAATACTATTGCCACAGATGTTTCAAGCAAAGTAACTTTATTCCCTTGGGGGAATAAAAATAAAATCGAAAATTGAAAATTTCGTTTTCAAAAATCTCGGCAACCTCTGAAGACATCCGAATTTTCGTAATAACATATTATTGGGTACAATACGCAAATTTGCCACAATTTAAACTACATTGCATCTCTTCAAATAGCCGAGATCCCCATGTTGGGGCACCCTGTATACATTTAAAAATTATCGGGGGTAAATACACAAGAGCGTGATTTTTAATCGGCTAATTTTATTTTTACACAATGGTTTTGTTTCAACGGAAAAAACTAGAGATCAAAAGTGTGATAAAATCGCGACAGCTTTAGCTCTATGCTTTTGATATAGTTTTTTTCATGAGGCAACAACATTTTAGTGAATTAAAAATAAAATTATCCTGATTTAAAACCAAGATCGCTATATCGATAAAAAACTACCTAGTTTTTAATCACTTAAAAAATCATACTGATTGGTTAGAATTTGAAACAATCGCCAAGCTGATTGGTCGTATATTAATCAAACTATGAAAATAAACATACACCAGTAAAACAGAAACACACTACAAATACAGGAACATACCACAAAATTTAAGTTTTTAATCATATTTAAAACTTTAGGTAGAGGTATGTTAATTTTTTTAATACAGGGCGATAAAGATTTTAGAGACAATGCGTTGCCAATTGCAGTACCCTCCGTAAAACCGATTAAGACAATATCATTCTGAATAAATATGATATTTGTACCAATTTAAAAAAATGTCTGCCAAAGCGTTCTTGATTACTAATAACCAATGGATGTTACTAAGAAGGAGTGCAACTTTGCACAACAGTGTGTTTGTGTGAGGGAAGCACGGTCCGCCATACAGTCCCCTTTTAACAGTTGGACCTACAGGTTAATGGTCGACTAATTTATAGACCACGAACCAAAATTTTGAATGACATAATTATATCATAGTGGGAAAGAAAATGTAAGCCACTGTGATGAGTACTGGAGGACTATCTTGAGGCAATAGGAATTCTACAAGACTAAATCATCTAAAAAAAATGATCCATCCAAAGGTTGTATTTTTAATTTAGGGAGAGCATCTCTGCAGTTAAGTATCACATTTGCGCCTACCTTCACGACTTAACGTCCGCCCTCGGCAACGCCGCTTAAATCCCCCCACAAGAAGGCACAACAATTATTCTTATGCATGATATTGCTAGAGCCAGTTGCCAACCACAATCTGTTAGGTTTACTCTTAAATTTTTGTGCTGCGAAATTGATTTGACTCATGGTTAGAGTCACTGTTGACTATTAAAAAGAACTTAGACCACTCAGCACCAATCCTAAGCCTATGCAAAGAAAAAATCAATTAGCAACAATTAGTGTAGCCGAAGAAGTTGTTATATGCCATCATGCAATTAACAAATGCATCAAAACAGATTTTATATGTTCAAAATCATTGATGATTAGAGAATTTGTGAATAGTATCCCTATACCATAATCCGTTTAATTCATGCAGAACTGTTATTAGGTAAAACTCGAACTAATGGCCGAATCAACAGTCTGGTCCTTTACAACCTTTGCTTGATCCAGCTGTCCTCTAACCTCTAACACGGTTAGACACAGTGGAAGAGCTTTTATTTCAAAAATAAAGCAAAACTAGCATACTTTTGGGTTAGTCTTTATATACAAGCGGTTATTTTAGCGATACGTTCCAGTATCTCAAACTCACTACCGTTACTCACCACGGAATCAACACTAACGCATCTATTAATTCCATTGAATGAATGTATAAATTCTTCCTTAACGACAATACAATTAATACTGTTGGAAAGTGACTGGTACTCCATACTATCGAGCTGGAAATCTTGTATTTGCTGGAACAATTTAATATTTCTTTTATGTGATGGGCGGTAAGGTAATTATTTATGTTCGTATTTTTAGTTTCAGCTCAGATAGTCACAATAAAATCATGTTAATAATGTATATACACAATTATGCACTGATAAGAACTTATAAACTTCAAGAGAGAGTGGGATAGCTGGCTGGAAGTAGAATTATGTTATATTCGGAATAGTCATGCAACCTCTCCATTTCTAAAGGAGGAAGAGTCTTCATTTAGAAAGTTGCAATTCGTCACCCAGCCCCTTGTATATTTTTACTAGTGATGTTAAATTACACGTTTTTTTTTAAAGTGCGTAATATTGCGTGTAAAATTACCAATTGTTTATGTTTTTTATGTATTTTATGTAAATTATGTAACTTACCATTCTTTTTTAAAAAACCGTAATTTTACAGTAAAATTACCAGTAATTTATGTTTTTTATGTAATTTACAAATATTTTTGTAAAATTACCTGTCATTTATGTTTTTTATGTTTTTTTTTCAATATTGTATAAACCTTTTTGAATTTTGTGTGTTTGAAAATAAACACTTGTTAAATTATATATTTTGGTGTATTAAATAAAATACCCAAGCAGTAGGTATTTCGCCATCACGCGTCGTTTGGAGGAAGAAGTTCCAGATCGCGAATTAGAGGCTGTATCATCTTCATTAAACCAAACTAAAGTTAACGGTGAATCGTTTACTTTGGTAGTACCGTTGATGGTCTGTGGTAGTGCCGATCAAAATGTATCAAATAGGTATTACATTTATGTAACTTACAAAAATCGATCTGAGACAATTTTTATTTCGGGGCTAAAAAAAAGGCAGTGTATAACCTTCCTTTTTTTACCAAAAATCGACTACACCAAAATTTCTCGGGAAAACACTTATTCTTATTAATTTGGGTGCGTAGAATCCAAATCAATTCGTACTTTTTCGATCAGACTTCTAAATCAAAAGTTATAGACTAGAAACCAATTTCGAAAGAAAATTCAAACGGCTGTAACTTTTGAACTAATAGCCCAATCTTGGAACTATTTGAAATTATGGATTCTACAGGCCACATTCTATAAGAAAATTTTTTTTCCTGGTCGATCTGAGACAATTTTTTTTTCGGGGCTCAAAAAAAGGCAGTGTATAACCTTCCTTTTTTACCAAAAATCGACTACACAAAATTTCTCGGGAAATCACTTTTTCTTATTAATTTGGGTGCGTAGAATCCAAATCAATTTGTACTTTTTCGATTAGATTTTTCAATCAAAAGTTATAGACTAGAAACCAATTTCGAAAGAAAATTCAAAGGGCTGTAACTTTTGAACTAGTAGCCCAATCTTGGAACTGTTTGAAATTATGGATTCTACAGGCCACATTCTATAAGAAAAATTTTTTTCCGGGTCGATCTGAGACAATTTTTTTTTCAGGGCTCAAAAAAAGGCAGTGTATAACCTTCCTTTTTTACCAAAAATCGACTACACCAAAATTTCTCGGGAAAACACTTTTTCTTATTAATTTTGGTGCGTAGAATCCAAAACAATTCGTACTTTTTCGATCAGACTTCTCAATCAAAAGTTATAGACTAGAAACTAGTGATTTTAAATTACACGTTTTTGTTAAAGTGCGTAATATTACGTGTAAAATTACCAATTGTTTATGTTTTTTATGTATTTTATGTAATTTATGTAACTTACCATTTTTTTAAAAAAACCGTAATTTTACAGTAAAATTACCAGTAATTTATGTTTTTTATGTAATTTACAAATATTTTTGTAAAATTACCTGTCATTTATGTTTTTTATGTTTTTTTTTAATATTCTATAAACCTTTTTGAATTTTGTGAGTGTTTGAAAATAAAAACACTTGTTAAATTATATATTTTGGTGTATTAAATAAAATACCCAAGCAGTAGGTATTTCGCCATCACGCGTCGTTTGGAGGAAGAAGGTCCAGATCGCGAATTAGAGGCTGTGTCATCTTCATTAAACCAAACTAAATTCAACGGTGAATCGTTTACGTTGGTAGTACCGTTGATGGTCTGTGGTAGTATCGATCAACATGTATCAAATAGGTATTACATTTATGTAACTTACAAAAATGACGGTTTTTTAAATTAAAAACGTAAGTTTCATAAAAGACATAAATTACATTAAAAAGCCGGCCTCTTGTAAGTTACGAGTAATATAACCGTTTTTTATGTAACTTACAAATCGTTATTTTACAATCCACATCACTAATTTTTACATACTGTGTGCTACAGTTGAGGTATCCTAGAGACATTACTTTTCACTCGGACTGTACATTACATTTAGCTGTATTGCGCCTGTTTTTAAAGACAATTGCAAAACATTTACCATGTCTATTAAGAAGTCCCCCCCTTGCGGTAGCCTATAAAATAAGAGCACTTACTTTTATTCTTCTGTCTTAGGGAAAAAATTGAAATTCGCTTTAGATAGACTCTAACCCTTTTCATTTCATATAATTCTAAAACCCAACAAACTCAAACAGAACTTCTTCCCTGGTTCAGTGATTACGTGAATCGATTACCTTCAAATGCACTATGAATTCTACTACAGTAACTTACATTTTTTGAAATAACAAAATTATGCACTAACCGCACATCTTAAAATTAACATCAGCTCAATCGAATATGAAGAACTGAATACCTCTAAAAGAAGGAAGCTGTACCAACATTTCAACAGTTTTTTTATGTTCAAGTTTCTGTTTTCCTATTAAAAAGTAAAGGTGCCAGGCGCAATTTACACAAATTCTTGAAACAACAAAACGGGTAAAATACGAAACAATTAATGTATCCGCTCATTAAACAATAAAAAAAATTGCGTACAACAAACCTCCATGTGTAACCTTGAGTAGAAAATCCATTACCAGAAACAAAATTATTTAAACTAATTTAATGGACACCACTTTGGGAAGTAATAATTTCGAATAAACATTTTATATTCATGACAAGTGTGAACTAAATTTTCCATCACCGAAAATGTGCTATTAGGTGCGAGGTAATCGTATGTAATTTAGTAACAGTTATGTTGATTGTAATGTTTCGTGTCCCATGATATAGCATTATTTTTACAAGGTAAAATAAACATTGTAAATAAAGGTCATAAATTTCTTTTTATTTAAATCTTACCAAAGTGTTTCCATTATCAAGCGCCTGTTACGTTTTAGTAAATGTGTCATTTCATTAAAAAAAAATTGGGTGTTCCTCCTATTGCAAATTGGGTAATTGGAACGTGCTTAATGTAGACAACATTACTGAAATTCTTTTGACAATAGAAATAATGACAATATTAAGCGGGGGTTTCCCACACAAATTAGCATTTCAAACTGTTCCATAGATAATGTCTAATTTAGTACTTCACGAACTCCACCACCGGAAGGTTATTTGTAGAAGACAAAAAAAGATGTTTCTTCAAATTAGTACAAAGACCACGCTGATATACCTTTAACGTAAACTTGGAAATATAACACAGTAGCAAATTATCTTATCTTGTATCATTTAAAGATTATCTAGAAATCTAGGGTACCTACTGTCTACTGAGAGGGAAGAGTACTGCTCCAGCATTCGCCTCGTAGATTTCAATATAATGCTAGCATTATGCGTAGCTACGTACGTTTGTGGAAAACCCTCTGACAAAACCCCAGACAGAGCAGAGAGGCCAGGCATATGCCAAAGCATCAAGTAGCAACTACACAAAAGCGTAATGACAGCCATTAAATTATTGTTCCCATGGTATGTTCTAAAATTTTGAAAAAATAACTTCTTTAATTTTTCTTGTGTGAAAAATTCCAATCAAAAGTAACTTTGATATTAATAATTGATTTCAGGGAGGCAAATTCTATCAAATTAAATCAAGAAAGAATAATCACGTCATTTAAAAAATTTAAGCCCGAAAACAATAATTTAAAACATTTTAATCATAATCTATTGGTAGTATTTTTGCAGTCATTAAATATGGTTTTTGTTGCATTTAATTCAGACAAAAACTGCAGCTACAGCTTGCGTCGTTTTTTAAATTACACCCTGTATAGAGGTGTGAAATGACATAAATTCTTAAACATAATAAATTAAAGAAATCTAGCAAACGAGGTCCTGGGTATGGGTATAGCTTGGCATTGCGTATATGGCTAAAGCTATGTCAGTTTGAATTTTATAGAATTCGGTTCATAACTAATGGAGAAGTCAAAAGGGCCTTCCTTATTTTTTGCCCTACATTGCCAATTCACGAACTCCGATCTACAAACTTGATAAAGAATCCACATGCAAAATTTAATCATAATTGATCCATTCGTTTTCGAGATATCATGCCCTTCCTCTTGAAAGACAACATAAAAGAATATGCTTATGCAAGGTTGTAAAGTACATTATAATAAAGAAAAAAAAACCAAACTTACTCTTATGTTGGTAGTTGGCATACACTTCCGGAAACAAATATAAAAAAAATTACAAAAAAACACAAAAACCTTTTTTATTTACAAAAAGCAGGAACGAATTAAACTGACTAGTGTTACATGTCTTTATACCATTTAAAACTGATACGGCGCGAAAATCACAGGATGTCCCCGATGAAATTATCAAAATTAAGATATTTTAGATTCTACAAAGGTATCCTAACTGTACCTTCTTAAGTAGCAAAAATATATAAATAAATCACTTCAAATAGGTCCCCTATAAAACAAAAGATATCACATTTAGATATTTAAATTCATAATATTATCTGGTGAGTGTTGGTGAGGAGAGTGGCAATAAAAACTTTATTAGTAACATGCCGTAAATGTATAATCTCCAAAAGTTTTTGATAACCTTAATTGGAGTAGTGGAGAGGTATTAACAGATTAAAAAAATTACTATTTATCTGTCAGGCACAATACCAGTATGTTCTCGAAATAATGGTGCCATTTTGATAATGCGCTATTACAGGAATTATGTATTTTATTTGCATCATTGGAAATGTATTTATAAATTAGTACCTAATTATGGGCATCTTTAATTAATTAAAGAGTAATTATAATGCTGTAAAGAAAACCAGAAAATTCTGATTACTTCCGAATATATGGCAAAAAATTCAAAATTGGTCAATTTCGTTTTTATTTTTTGAAGAGATACAAAAAAAAACAATTTCTGATTGCCACTATTTAAGCTCTACAAGACAGCGTTGAGAGATTTCCAATACAATGTTTTGTTTTGGAGAAACCATGAACTTTCTTTTTTTATATGGCCCGTAAAGAAGTACATGCTGTATTAAGTAGCATTTTTTTATTACTGATACAACGATGTACGGCACACAAAAAAAACACAAAGTTGAAAACTGTTGGTTTTAACAGGACGGTGCACCCACGCATAACGCCCTAATCATACGCGAGAATACCTATCGGATAATTTCCTGGAACATGGAAAATTTTGGGGATTCTTAAAAAATAAAATGCATCTACATTGTGTGTACTTTGGTTCACTGAATAAATTTTTAAACTTTCTTTAAAAAGGGAAATACATTCCTCGACATCTTGTACAAGTACAAGTGTACAACTAGCCCTTAGTTACAGAATGATAAAAAAGGTTGCCATGGTTACTTGATATTACTAAAACAATATTGTTGCTTGCGTGTACAAATCTGTGAAGACAAATAATAATGCTTTCCCTTGTATAGTCACAAAGTGACCCATGCAGTAAGCTGTTATTACAAGTGCAAATGGCCAACAATAATTAAATGAACAAAATTTCAACTTACAGGTGACGAGTCATGCCTATGAAACAGTCCCGAAGTTTGTTCCTTGTAATTAACGGAAAGGTGAGTATCGGAACGTGAATGATCTCTCTTACTTTGTGGTCGAGGAGATGGTTTCGGGCTACTTCGTGGGCTTGTGTTGGGACTGCCGGACCTTTAATTTCAACAGTGGTAAATAAATTGAAATAATAAAAATCATTTTTTAAAAAACATACATTTTTTTTTAAAGATGTCACAAGCGAGGATTACTCCTTTTCCTTTGAAAAATTTACATTGTCGGAATGTGAAAGTATCGTACCTAGTAATTTTTTTTGTAAATTATTCCATTGATAAAAACAACAATAAAGGAAACGCCATTTTAATTGATAACAAACGGAAACCATAGATCATAAAGGATCACCACAATGCGCATAAAAGACAGCTGAAGATGCGCCGCGCCAATCCCGTTTTAAATACTGCGCTGGCGCGGTTTTATATAGAGCAGAGGCGTAACTACAAGGATGTCGAGGGTTGTTGAAGGGTGCATGATCGTTAAGCCAATGAAGAGTGGACTCAGTGCCAAACGAGCCGCAGACTGTGGAAGAGTTTAAGGTCATTGATTGATGAAGCATGAGAAAAAGTTGGAAAGGCGGGAAAAAATTTTGAAGGAAAAGAAGGCGTGCGAGAAGTGTGAAGCAGACAAGAGTGGGAACGTGAAGAAAACATGAGTTAGAAAGTCTAAAGAAGGTCTGAAGGAACAAGTCGTGAAGAATGATGAACGAGGTGTAAAAAATAAATTATGAGAGATCGAGTCTATGTCGGGAAAGGTTTTTAAAAATTGCCCTAAAAGTAATAGAGCAGCGTATTATTCGAGAATATGTAGGTATAGAAACTTCTTATCAAAACGGTCTTAATATATAGCTAATGTTACGCGATGCCACTGATACAAAATTTTGATAATGTAATGTAATGGCCTTTTGGAAAAACAAATAAAACATGAAAGTCTATGTTGGGAAGTTGTTTAAAAATGGCCCTACGATCGGTAACTGCTGTGCTTATTAGACGAGAACGTTGCGTTCTCAAAAAGTACATAATTACACGATAATGAGTAAATAATTCGGTGATATTGTTGCTATAACGCCCACCTATAGCTACAAATAGTTACTATGATAATTCCACACTACCCTTGAGGTTGACTGTTGAGTATCGGGCGCGTTTTTTAAAAATTGGTAAGTATCCGGCCTTTTAGGTGTACCCCAAGTATAAGCATTTGCTCACTTTTATTCATACGGGCCAATGACTGACGGATTGACATTAATCAAAAGGTGTACACGAAAATTGAAATGTTATAGGTATTAAAATACGATTTTGGGTAAAATATAATACAAAACTCGTCAAGGACATAAAGAAAAGTGGAGCCATATTATATTTCAGGACGTATAACCCATGAAGCTACGCCACTGTTAAGATGTTTACAATCCAGTTGCCTTTCACTTTCAAATTTTGATTTTACATTTTAGTCGGTAAATCAAAGGAAAAAAATCATACATAAAGAAAATATTGATACTAAGCTGACGAAATTTTGAACATGTCATAAAACCTTTTGCAACTGACATATTTAGTAAAAGTGGTAAGTACATGTTCGAATGTATAAGGAGAAAATGCATAAGAGAAAAGAGAATGTCTATGTAATAACAAACGCCCCCACTGATATCCCCTCTAGTGTTTTACGGGGGTATTGTTGTTCAATCAAAATGCGACGTTGCCGCTACTTGTATTGACATTGATGAAAGATGGTCGTGTTGTCGAGTGCGAGAGAGATGCTTGATTATGACAAGGCAATTGGCAATCCTGATGTAAGTAGGTGCTGGACGCCATAAGTATCCGATAAATTTGTATGATATATTAAAAAATATTGTATAAAATGCTAGTTATTGGTGAGTAGTTGTGAAAAACAAATTTATTATATTATTCTCTCAGTTGTTTATTACAATAGACTATTTTTGCTCAATGTTGTTGTGACCGTAATGTTTGTACGCTCCCCCAAGCTGTTTTCTATAAGCGTAAACAATACACGCTGGCTGTTTATATCTAGTAGCCGATGACTGATTGCATTCCAGCGGTTTAACGGCTAAATGCGTTTCAGTTAAGAGTAGAAACTTAGGAAAATGGGTAGCAGTAATAGTAGGTTGCCCTTGAACAATTGGTTTGTCTTGTCAGTGTTAGTTGATGACAGTTATTAAATATAGATTTCATTTACAGGTTACAAATTTTGACAGAATGAGTTCAGCCTTAAAACCAGCATTAACACCTTCCGGTGTGCAAAATCAGCCGGTACCTTCGCAGTTGAATAAACCCATGCATACTCAGGGAGCACCGACCACATATGGTCAACCGATGAGCCATATACCACAAAACCTTGTTAATATACCGCATAATGCACCGAACTCTGGCAGTGTGCACAATCAGGTGCATAGCATTAACGCTAATGTCCATACAGCGCATCCTTCTAACCATTATTCTTTAAACGTCCCTAATGCTTCACAACATTACCCGATAAGCGGAAATATCCCCATTAACACACATTCTGCACCTGTAAGTAATCATCCTGTACCAAACACAACACAAGCACACATTCAACCACCCTCCACGTTCTCCCCTTCACCAAAAAATTTATCCTACAATCCTAATTATCAAAGCAACGTTGGACATTCATATAAAACGACAAGTATGACACCACCGGTAAATCAACTACCACAATCTCAACCGACAGAAACTACACCACCAACAGAGAAGCCTCAATCGAACGGAACACCCGATATCAAAATTGCAAGCAAACCTGAGCCTTCACAGAACCACGTAACGCCGATAGTTATAGAAAAATCGATCCAGCCTCCTCCCCAATTACCGCCTGCCGAAATCCAAGTACAATCAACGCCCGAAAAGGCAAAAACCGTACTAGAACAAGCGTCCGTTGAACCCGAAGAGAGCGTAAAGGAATCAAACGAAAGTAAACCTTCGGATGAGGAAAGCAGGCCTCCGCCGGAACCTGAAGATAGTTCGACGATCACAATGGCGGCGGCTACTGCTGATAGTGTACCGAGTTCGGTTACAGAAACTAGTGCAATTTCGACTGAAAGTGTTCCTTCTGCAGAGACTGAACCGCCAGTCGATAGTACTAGTACGGATGCGATGGAAACCGATCGTCCACCCTCCCCTCCTTCACAAAGTACTGAAGTACCTGAGCAGATTAAAAATGACGACGACAATAGTGCCAGTCCAACAAATGCTACTGTCAATAAAACTAAGGATCAGGTATTTATGAATTGTAATATTCGCAATTACAGGGCCGCGATATCCACCTCAATTGTGTCGATAATTAATTGTGTCAAAGGACTTTTATTCACCATTTATTGAGAGATGGATAACTCGGCCCTCAAAGTTAGAATTGGGGAAAGAAAAACCTGAAAAAAAGAAGATGTTGCCAATACTTACTTCCACGTGTCAAATATTCTATTAAACAATTTCGTAATCATGGAGATGTTTTCATTTTTGGGTGGTTTTGCAATTATGAGACTAATGCCCGGTTTCACAAACGATTATTAAATCAATGATTAAAAATATTAGCCACCTTTGATTATACGCTCAGAGTTTTCCATTCTAATATTTTTAATCAGTGATTAACGTTAATCATCGTTTGTGAAACCGGGCATAAGTGTATATTATACTGTATTCATTTTAAGAAGGTAACGGTAGAAAGCATAGGGAAGCTTTGACCTTCAATCTGATTGGCTAAAACACGAGTCAGTATTACACTGAAACATAAAACAAGTGGTGAATTTTGTAAGCTGGTAGTTTATGTTGCCAACTAAACTGCTGAAGTGTCATTAACTGTTAATGTTAAAGATTTATTTCTGTTCGCAGTATGGATATTTCTTCTTTACAATAATTTGGTGCCGTTTTATATTTTTCCTGTGTGTGTTTATCTTCAAACATAGCGCCATCTACTACCTTTTTATAGTGAATGCAGTGTAGGTGGCTAGGTAGAGCAGTCTGGGTTGAAACCTGGACTACTAAAAAATACATACAAAAAAAATAAATGAGCATGTCTATAATAGGTAGGTATACGACAAGTGAAAGTAAGCATTGAAACAAAAAACAAATTGGGTACCAAAACATATACTTTTTCTGATAAACCAAGGATTCAAAATGATTCGTTTGGAGGCAATAATGTCTCCAATAATTAACGGTCATTAAGTTCTATTTCGGATTTATTATATTTGCCAACTAGATTCTCTTACCAACCCAAATGTATAAAGTTTCTGCCACTTTTCCAATTCCTACTGAATAAAAATCTGACAATCGTTTGACAGAAAGAAACTAAAAATTATCAAAAAGTCAATGCTAGACATTTTCCTTCGACTAGTAAGTTTCTGTGCTTTTATTTTGTTTGGCTCTGTTGAACAGTTTGCCCAGTCTTCTGCTTCACGAGCGCCTTGCACCACCAGGGGTGTTTGCAGGGTTGCTGGACAGTCCTCAGAGGACATGTCTGTTCGTAGGTCTTTGGATTTCAATAGTCCTTTTTGATAGCTTATTTCAAAAGAAATCCTTCTGTGATTTGAAGTTGCTTTAGACTTGCCAGCTCACCACTGAGATACTTAGTAAGATCAGACTAATATCTGTATTATAGTCTGACATTGGGTAGATTCAGTGTCCCGATTAAGTATTTCTAGGTTAGTACTTGTTAGATATTCGAGTAATGATTTACTTCTAGGGTGCTCCCCCATGTAGTGTGGTGAGCATTTGAATAACACCCTATAATCAGATGTTGATGGTTTCTTGCACAGTGCTCTATCAACTCTGCCATCTCATTGCTGGGAGGAGGTTAAACAGAATCCCCTGGGAGATGCGACTATTAAATAGGTCAGTTTTACCTTTGATGTCACAATTAAACTACTGTAGTGATATCAGGTCCACACAGATGAGGCAACATAAGCGCTCTGATGTGGCTATGTACATAAATACGTGTTCTAGGTTGTTTTTTTTTTGTCGTTAATCATAGAAAATGGTTCCGTTTGTATCCCCTAAACCGGATACCCTCGATCGAACAGTCCAGGGTTCTAGAATAAAGCCAATGACCTACTGAGCATATGGTTAGAATAGTTGCAGCCACTCGGCAATGTTCTTTCCTTATTGCCATAATGTTATTTATTCTATTGCTTGCTGTCGTTGGATTCCGACTCCAACAACGCTTCGAGTTTAGCAATCTCTTCCCATTTCCTGTGATCTGGCGAGCATTCATTCATCACAGACGACCTTGAATGTTTAGGTGACACACAGTTGCCTCTGTGGGTACGGTGGGTGTCATATGTACCCCGCCATCTCTGGTTCTGCTGATTTATCTGTCTTCATTGTTATGTTTTTTGGATTTATTAATTAAACTAAGGCTTTTATAATGTAATGCATTTACTGAAAGTAAATATAATGACAAGTGTTTACATACCTGTTGTTTCTCATGCACTGTACCAAGCCTACTTAGGTTTTATATATGACATGCCCCTTCTTAAAAAAGAAACCTTGCGATGTGACCTCTGTATAATTTATAATTTCATTTTTCATCTCTTTAGAGAGCATTTTTGAAATTTATTGCAGGGCTGTAGATTTGAAGGTGACAGTTGTACATTGCACCTACTACCTATTTGAACTACTCCTATAGGTTGATGCGATTTTTTTTTAAATGGAACAGGGAACAATGCATGCAATATCGTATGTTCCAGTTCAAGATAAATGCACTGTATATATCAAATTATAATTATTATTCAAGAAAAGAAAGAAAGATTTATTCCAAAACATTCAAATTAAGGGCGAAGTTCAGTACTGCAGCATTGTCGAAGTCTGCTCTCTCAATTAACCCCGTAGGGTCATATATAACCCCTGCAGAGCATGAGTAATGTAGCGACCACTGTAGGGTTAATTTTTGAAGTAAAATGTCATGTATTGTGATACACCGTCGAAGACCCTCGACTTCTAAAAATGGCAAATTACCCCATTTCAAAGCTCAAAGCATATTAAATTTTCTTTTCAAAAATATACCACTAAAAATTCAATAATGCTTAAAAAAATTTTAGAAATTAAAAAAAAATTTGTTTCTGGAATCAGTTGAACGTCTTTGAAATTGTTTATATTTTTTTTAATATCATCCCTGGTATGTTATATTTTGGAAAAGATAATTTTTATTTATTTTTTTATTTTTGGACTTTATGTTTAAGTGGGGGAAGTTTCATCCAAGGTCAACCAACCCACTATACATTTAATAATAATAATAATATTTATTGGTGGTGTTTATACAGTAAATATTTCCACAAGTCACAGTAAGGCCACTTTATTGTTCGGAGCCATCAAACCTGTAGTCCAAATATCATTTACAAATATCCATGCTTGAACTCGGATTCAAACCAGGGACCCCCCCCCAAACGAAATACTTTGGACTATTAGTTAAAGTGTACATCAGAAATTGCCCCTTCTTAAGGGTGTATTTTTATTGCGGCGTAATTGGAAATCAAAAAACTGCCTATACTTATATTCTGCAGCAATTGCATCATTACAATTAATGTTTATTCCAGAATAATCAAAAACCAACTTTAAAATTAGCTACGACACCTAGAAACGTAACCAAAAAACCCAAAGTGTCCAAGCCGGACCCGGAAACTCCCAAAGTTGTGAAACCCGAAACGAAAGCATTACAAAAGTCGCCAGGATCGGGTGGCAAATCTAAACGAACTCGCACTAAAACGCAGCCGTATCAAAGCCCGTTACCCGAAGTTGAGATGATCTCTAAAATTACTGCGACAACACCACGCAGTAGAAATAATGAGGATAAGCTAATCATATTTTACAAGTACGTGTCTATTTGCCGGTTTTTTTTTATTAATAACGTTATCTTCTAGGAACGAGTTTTTAGCAGTGCGGAACTCCGAAGGAGGTTTTTACATTTGTCAGGCGGTACAAAATATTTACAAAAGCTCGCCCAGGATACGTATTCGTTGGCTGTCTCAAGACAAAAGTGACAAGGAGGTTTATACACCTGATTTCTATGACAATACGGATTTCGACTGTATCTTGACTAATTTGAATCTCTCGCGTGCCGGTAAAGGTAAATATAGGTTGCCGGCCGCTGAGAGAATTAGGACGGATAGTATTCTGAAGCGAGCATTAGCCGTGGAGAAAGGCGATGAAAAACCTACTTCTTTAACTGAAGAGCATCCAGATGGTTGTAAGTATTTTTTCTAAAAATTGTACATGTTCTCAGAAATTTTATAAGTGGGGAATGTGCTTCTTGCATACAAAAAGTTGTATAACAATATAATGCAAGGCTTCAGGTTCATTTTTAAAAAATTTGCTGTAGGTTTAGAATTTTTTGCCACATTTTATGGTAACCACCTCTTCACGTAGTCCCTAGTATCACAGATTTGAACACTATCCATAGATAGATGCAATGTAGTTTAAATTGGGTCAAATTTGCGTATTTTGGTGCCCAACGAAAATTGGTAGGTAACTTTTTTATATCTTATGGCAGCCATATTGGATTTTAACATTTTTTAATAAATCTCCTTTTTCTGATTACAATGGTGTATCATATGATATATTTCAACTTTAAGGTTCCGTCAAAATAATGAAAAAACCGCTTTTGCAAAACGTGATTTGGAAAGAACATGCATTGTTTTGTTTAACAATGTGAACAATACACATATTTGACAGTTTAAAATTGGAGTAAACTCTGTTTTTAACTAGGAAGACGGATTTAAAAACCTGATTTACACTGTAAATGTCACTAGAATCTAGTAACAAAAATAATAGATTTTTTTCACTACTAGCGTCTGATGACATGATTATTAACCTTTTTTCCACTTGTAAAGTAGGCTTTCTCGGCATTTGTTCAAAGTGGTTAATAATTTTTTATTATTAACTAGTAGTCAATAATGAGAACTGTCACGCTGTCACTTTTAGAAAACACAACCCGAAATTTCGCTCAATGAACGTTTAGACAAGTTCTCTAAAACGAATAATTGCCACCATTCGCAATTTCCAGAGAAATTACATACCTAAAATTATCACATTTTGAAAAAATTCGAACGAAATTACTCTTTGAAAAATCTCAATGACAGAACAAAATACGGCCTGTTTGACTTGTACTTCCACGTACTTGATTGACATGTTAAATTAATAAACAAAAATTCTGTCCAACCGTTAACTCTCTTATCAATATAATATGTTAATTTAGAGGATTTCAAGTGCTAGTAGTGAAAAAAATAGTATATATACCACGGTAGAGAAGTCTCTTATTGCCTTCGCACCTTACACCCCTCGGCGCAAGCGCCTCGAGATGTAATCTTGGTGCTCAGGCAATAATAGTGGACTTCTCTACCTTGATATATAATGTACTATTATACAGACATGTATTGTGGGTTGTGTGATGTGATTTTCTTTCACATTTAGATTGATTTCATTATTGATGCTTTTGGGTCATTATTTGGTAGGAACTCCTTTATACTACCACAGATTTAAATATACTAATTTAAATCTGTGATACTACGCATACATCATACGTTTAAAAGCGAATTATAATAAATAGGTAATACATTGATAATAGGTAATCATCCTGCATACATTTTTTGGCATTTGAAACATTATTTTGAATTGTAGTTTTAAATGTTTTATCAGGTGTTGTAACACTACACAATCCGCATTACAATTTACAACAAATGCTAAGTTATTGAACAAATTCAGAACAATGGAATTATACTCATATTATTAAACAGCACAGTTCACTGCTTTATGTATAAGGGATTTAGTCACTGTCTTCCGAAAGTTCACTAAAACTGTCACTGTCCTCCGATCCGAGTGAAATAATTAATGGTTCTATAAGTGTATCCATTAGGCCATCCAATCTACACATCTTATTTTCTTCCTTAATAACGTGTTGCACACAATTCCGCCAATCGTCAGAGCTCACATTTGCAACAGAGTTATGACCACCAGAACGTTTCGAAGGGAACAATCCCAGTACTTCGATATTCTTTAATTACCCGGTATACTGTAGATCGTGCAAATCCTAATATGTGTAAAACTTTAATAACCAAATATATACCTACATCATTATTTGCGTTACCTATGGTAGATGCAATCTTCAACACAAGCGTAGCAAAATTCATATCCGGAGTATCAGACAACATTTGTTTATGTGTTTATAATAAATTGCTTCTCGGACACTGATAAAATGACCCAACTTTAAGCGACTACGTTTTTTCAAAGGAGACAAGCTTGCTTTACTGGTACTGAATCCATCACTAATGCCAGTACACTTTGGACGCGAAATATCAACTTTAGTTCTTAAAAGAACTTTTTTTTGTTAAAATTTATACAAATGGATTCAGAACACAGAAAAACTGAAAAATAAGTACAACAGTTACGGAGGAGAATCGCGATTAAATTTGACAGTAAAATCATGTCAATGGCAATTTTAGCTGGGTGTAAAACGGGCGCAGCGCGAGCCAATAGAAACTAAGATTTTTTGCGGGAACTTTTAAATCCGTCTTCCTAGTTAAAAAACAGAGTATAGTTGTTGCTTTTTCTCGTCTATTTATTATTACAAGTTTCTCGATATAATGCCGTTTTTAAATGAACAAAAACGAGATATGTTAGAAATCTAATTTTGGGCAACAATGTGATGGATAATAATAATAAAGGACTTTATTTATATCAAGTAAATGAGCGAAGTGCAGCTTGAAAGACTATTTAAGGTTTGGATTTAGAGAATATAGGCAACTGGTGATGCACATGTAATTCAATGGGGCGTGCATTGCCGCTGAACTTCATTCACCATTTCATAAGCAAGGGGTGTATATGATCAGAAAAATATGTATTAGGTAGATAGATGTACAGAGCATAGTTTCCATACAATATAAACTGATATGTTGTCCATTAATATATGTTTATAAAATCTAGAAAACATGCGTCAAAAGAGTTCATACTTTAGGAATTAATTGCAAAAATTAGGGAGCATTTTAAGCAATACGAGTGTATGGGATCGGTAGCGTGAATACTTACCTATTTTTTGGTAATTCATGTGAAGCTCAAAAGTTTTCATAATAAAAGTGGTAAATGAAGTTCTGAAAAATGGGCATGTAAACTGGCGAAATGGAAATAAACTACGCAGCTGTGACTAATATCGCGGTCAACAGTGTAGCTTCTTTCTCACAGAGGGTGCCACCAAGAGTTTTATGAAGTCAGTAAAAAATATGATAAAGACATATGAAATAAGCGCTTTTATCTTGCGATGGAGTTGTTCTTACTTTTTAACTAGGCTAATACTGTGTAATGGGGATAATAAAAGACAAAAATTTACGAGCAAAAAAAACTAGCAGGCTATGTAAGTTGCCTATGTTAAATCATTTAGCGAGTCTCTTTCAAGGTTGAACAGAGCGTGTAATAGTAGAATTTGCTGACACCAACAAAAAAGATTATTCACTGGTATATTTTTATTTTGTCAACTCCTTGCTTCCATATTTATTTGGTTTCCCTTTCCTATTCATTGCAAACGGTGTACCCTCTACCTGCCGTTGTATGAAATTTTTAGAACAAAGGGTTGGGTTGTTGTATATTGTTGTTGATGTCTGGCAAGCGCCTACCTTGTGTGGGTGTTTATTTATAATGCGATTTGTTGATTTGTTTGACTGTCTTCCTTATTCTTTATTTTTGCTTATTGCATTTTAAAATACTGTAAATTTATAATCCATATCTTGTTGCAAATTACATTTTTTGAACTTCAATAGTATCATTGAATAAAGCTCTTTATTCAATTGATAGTACCTATTATATATAGTATTATTTTTGTGTAATGTGTAATAATTGACCTATACAGGGTGATTCAAATTCGAGGGCCACAATGGGGCTCTCGGGAACTGTAAGAGATAGATAGATAGTTTACATTTGACAAAGTTGCGTATTTTTGATGCTTAACAAAATGCAGTTTTGAAACTGAAAAAATTCCGACTACTTTCGGAGAAAAACGAAATTTTGCAAAATCGTTTTTATTTTTCACTGAAGTTATTAAAAATGATATTTCAAAATAAAGACACATTATTATGACCACTTTTTTCCCTCTACAAGATGCAACTTAAATTTTAAGTTTGACGTTTCGTCTCCTGCCAACCATCTTTGTTTTTTCTTATGGAAGCAATTTTGAATTTTTGTGTCATTTGATAAAGAATTTTTTTCTGATTTCAAAAATATAAAACATCATCTATTTTTAATAAGAAATAACGCTATTAATTCGTAAAAACGCAAGAAACTACCTACGTACATTACTTAAGACAACGTTTTCTAGGCAAAAAAAGATATTTTACAAACATTAAAAAAATTGATATGTACATTTTTGAAATCAGAAAAAAATTCTGTATCAAATGACACGAAAAGTAAAAATTACTTCCATAAGAAAAAACAAAGGTGATGATAGTTAACCGGAGACGAAATGTCGGATTTAAAATTTTAAACTAGCATCTTGTAGAGGGAAAAAAGTGGCCATAATAATGTGTCATTTATTATTACATATCTTTGTAAATAACTTCAGTAAAAAACAAAAACGATTTTCAAAATTTCGTTTTCTCTGGATATCTCCGAAAGTAGTCAGAATTTTCAGTTTCAAAACTGCATTTTGCTAAGCATCAAAATACACAACTTTGCCCAAAAACTACCTACCTATCCTATCTCTTACAGTTCCCGAGATACCCATGATGGCCTCAGCCTGTATATTACTAATTTACAAAAGACTATCCCTCGAATTTAAGACAAGGGGAAGAGGGATACAAATGTATATTTAAGGTATAAACGGCTAAAAAATTAAAAAAAAATCGGTATACCATATGTCCCCGGATTGACTTTACAAGAAGAAAAACTTTTACTATACTTTTTGACAAAAATGCATTCTCCATAAAAGCTTTTGCTTATTCTAATTCGAAATTTCCCTACCGTTTCAGAGAAAAATACAAAAAAAAAACGAAAATATGGTTGAACTTTTTCCAAGCCCTAAAAGTCAAAACGCGTCTCTACTGTAATAACATTTCGTTAGCTACAAAGTCTTCGTTACCTGTTATTTGAATAGGCACCACTCGAGGCACTAGGATCGTTATGAATATAACAAACACACTTCGTAATGACATTGAATAAAAACCTCTTTATTCAATGGTAACAATGAAAAAGAATTGAATTTCCAAAGGTGTTTTCTTATAAATATCTGCGTTTTACCGTTAAGTGAAGGAATCGAGAGTTTTACTGAGGGCCCTTCCAAACAAAAAGCCCCTGGAAATAAATTCAATTTTATCATTAACAGTGATATACCTCTTTTTGGTTTCATTTGTCGCCACTTTGAACCAATTTTACGACCTTAAGTTTCCATGCCAATAATTAGGCGATTTTTACTTCATAGGTTACGTTACAAGCGGTTCATTATTCTCCTCAAGTTATATGCGGTAGAGAGCTAATTATAATTTTGTTAACCTAGCAGTCTGTAAGGAGCGGTGGACGACCTTGCGTTTGTGTTTTGTATCTTGTCGTGTGGTTATGCAAATCAAATTGCATTTTTTTTAAAGCTCCCTCTGTGTTGTTTGGGGCCCAGTATAATGATTTAAATATTTGTAGAAAACTGCTGTAGTTACGCTACTCATTATTAGGTACCAGCACAGTCCAACAAAAAAACTTTGTCTTTTACTATGGGTACTTCTCTTTTCAGGCAATCCCAGCCTTAATGCTGTTCTACCACTTAACCCATATTTTCATTATGAATTAAATAACATTTATATTTTTTAGAAGTAGTATAATACTCTTTCAATAAATGTACCTTTAGTGCTTCACTGAATAGGTGTCACTCTCACATAGGCCATGTGTAATGCACGATAATGAAGTTTATTGAATTTCACATACAGTTTTAAACCACGGATTGTGAAACAGCACAACAACATACCACGATTTGTTGATTCTCACTAACTGTATAGCTTGAAATGGCAGTACTTAAACCACTTACCTTAGGTTATTAAAGTGAATGATTTTCTGGTATTTGACTAGTGTTGTAATGTGATGGGGGTTCTAATGCGAAAGGCTGATGTATTTACATAGGCTTTACCTTTCATCAAAATAATAGCCTCTCTACAAAGCTAATTGCAGTAATGTTATATTTTTTCATAACCAGTTAATTCATCTATTTATAATACATGATATTTATGGCAGTGGAATGTGTATGCAAGAAGCACTTGTTTGCAAATTGTTGTAATCTACCATTAAATTGTATTATGTTAAAATAGTATTTTCACTATTGCATGTTATAACTCCTCAAATTTTTCTTGCAGTAGATTTATCTCTGTATAAAGAAGAAAGTCAGTTGAAAAAGAGGAAAACTGTAAAACGTAAAGCAAGTTCGCCACTAAGAGCTGCCGCCTCCACCAGCAGTTTGACGAAATCCCCCGAACAAGCAAAAGTGCAAAAAGTCGCACCAAAACCAAAACCGCCTCCCGTCAAAAAGGCGACCGTTCTAAAAAAGGCGTTATCGACAAAAGTAAAAAAAGTAATTCCTCTTACAAAAATAGCACGTTCAGAAAGAACGCTAAAGCGACCAACCGAAGAAATTAAACCACCGATTAAGGCAGTTCCCATCATTGACCAGAAAAAAGCGAAGGTTCTTGCAAAAGTTGCCAGAAAACCTGTGGTGCCCGCTCCTAAACCCCAACCGCCGCCGCCTCCTAAACAAAGTAAGTCTATTGGATACGATAGGTTTCGATATAATTGCGCGTTTTTTTCAGTCGCGAAAAATCTAAAAGCGCCAGTTCCAGCGCCACCCGTTAAAAAACCACTAGTGAAAAGACCGCCACCAGTTGCTATCACTCGAAAATCGAAACGTGCAAAAAAATAAAATTGGTGTTACTATCAATAAGTTATCATATTATATTTTATTTACAGTTTAACTGCAAGAATAGCATTTGTTTATATTAAGAACATGACTTAAAAAAGTAATACACAGAACGAGATGGTGCATTTTAATCTTATTGAAGGTTCTCACTTTATTCGTTCTGTTTAATGAGCAGTGTTTGGAAAATGTAAAATAGCACTTTGGTGGATGTACAGAGTCGTTTGCATGATCTGTACTTTTTAATTGAGGGTTTGTGTATGGTAATTTTACTTTATTATCGTACTTAAACTTTTCAGGAAGAGTTTTTTATTTAGTAATTGTACAATTGGAACCCATAAATGAACGATATTTTTAAGATCAATTGATGTAGGAGTAGTCGTTTGTGTTAGAGTTAAAATGAACAGTTTATGTAAATGACTAATGATATTGTGCAAAGTTATATGGCACCTGAAGTTGATGAATGTGTTGCAATTTAGGTTACAAGTTTTTTTAAAAACACTAATATTGAAAGCTCTCAGGGCAGCATTTGGTTATACTGGATATAATCAATTCGTCAATAAAAAGAAAAATTTTATACATAGCTTTAAATAAATTTAGAGCAATTTGCTTAAAATTAACAAAAGTGTATATTTATTCGTTGTTTCAACATACTAGTGTTTTTAAAAATCTGCACTAATTTTTATATTTTACAATTTTTATTTTAGCAATAGCGTTAACTTTTAGTGAATTATTTTTCATTGTATATTTTATTCTTACAGATGTAGAATAATAAGGTTATTTAAGAGGCGTTTAATATATATTAGATTTTAATCCAATTAAAAACTTCACTCAGCAAGAATAATCAGATTGACCAATTTCATACAAACCACAAACAGCACAAAAATCATTGCAAAGTATCGTATTTAGAATGTAGTCGATGTATGTTCAGTCTTTTGTGCTTGTCAGTTATTTAATTAAGGATGTCAAAAGATTGAATCTGTAGCAATGTTTGAAATTGTCTGAAAACAATTGATCTGAATTATTTAGAAAATATCCCAAATTATAATTTATAATGTACATGGTTTTCGAATAAAAAGTATTTATGAAATGAATCTTGCCATTACGGCAGTTGTGTTCGCATATCTTATTGAAACAGGTATTTGTGAATCTGAACAGAAGATGTGTTGTGTGACGACTTAATGCGCTTTTTTTAAACTTTTGTGGTTTATTAGTTATTTTTAATAATTTATAATTCATTCATTGTCTAGAGATATCGAGATGCCTGTTTTCGCGAGCTTGTTTAGGCATCATTTAGCTACTTTTTCATGAAAAAAAAATCGAACCAATGCATTTAATTTTTTTGAGAAAATTAACCATTTCTGTCAGAATGTCGAAAAAAGCCCTCAAGCGGTGATATGTGAAACTAACAAAACTTCAAATAGTATAATATTTGTAGCTGAAGAATAGATCTTTTGAACTAACCTGAGTTTGTTTAAATCGGCTCAGCCGTTTCGAAGATACAGGGTGTTCTTTACGGAAACCTTTGAATACCCCCCACCACTTCATTTTTAGAGATACAAGAAAAATTTTCAAACAAAAAAGGTTCAGATTATTGTCAACTTCAAAGACCGGACATTTTTTTGTTAGGTTAATATAGCGGAATTCATAGAAACATCACATTTTTAGATTCCAGATTGCCGTTACGCCCCCTAGCGGCCATTGCAGAAACTTAAAAATATTTTCCAGGTTTTTCTCGTGGCCGTTTTAGTAATAAATTTTTTTACCGAAAGCCTCTACGATGGACAGGTTCCCAGATACAGTACCTCGCATTCTTATTTGGCCACCCTGTACACANATATAACCGACGCAAGAAAAAGCATCTATGCCGGGGTAATGTTTTTTTAGAGAATGTAATGCTGCATCTGGATCAGATACTATTTGTTTATCATTTTCCGGAACCAGAGTAGGTACATAATCAAAGAATTGGTTTGAAGAAATTGTTCTTAAACTTATATTCGAATTTTCCGCTACTGCAGCCAAAACGTTGAATGTATTGTCGTTTTCCTGATGGTTTTGAGGGAAATTGTGAATGTTATTCCACTTGCAGATATTTAACACTGTGGCTATTCTTTCAAACATGCACACCTGTGGTACTGCTTGGAATCGGCCGATTGGGGTACATCACACTAAATAAAGAAGTAACTTGGCAGGCATAAAACAACTTGTAATTGTAACATTTCCACTTTCTTGCGACGCGCTAGGAACCACCCTGTATACAACTATACACCCATTTTATTTGGAAAAATTTTCGTTTTGCCTTGCATTTGTGTAATTTTCTGCCAGGTGTGTCATAAATGTAAAACTAAATAAGAAAATACCATGTGTCCCAGGGAGAACGCACCAGATAAGAGCTGGAACACACTGTATACCATTTTCCAAATTGTTTTGGCAACTATGCCCACAAAGGCCCTATAATTTAGTTTTTGTGCTCGATGCTTTAGATTTGCCTTTTGAATTTTCTCAATTTTATACTGGCAAGAAAAATTTCAAAGGGCATAGAAGTCAATTTAAATGAACCACATTCAAACATAAATGCCAAGGCAAACCCTACAGCTTAATTATCATTAAATAAACAAAAATCTTTGCATTTCTCAATTAGTCATTAGGAGAGTACAGGTAAAATAAAAGAAACAAGCTTTATAGTTTATAAAAGTGTATTTATTTCATAATTTTAAATTATGACCTAGGTCGTTCCTTCTTTTCTTTATACAATGCTAGGAGGGAAACATTAGCAACTTTAACAACCTGCAAGTAGAAGAAATTAGTGCTAAATTACGATAATATAATCACAAACCTTAAATCTAACTCCAGGAATATCACCTACGGCATGACCCTTACGACCGAATCCTGCAACTAAAACTTCGTCGTTTTCTTCGATATGGTTTAAACAACCATCACGAGGTACGAACGCAGTAATTTTTTTTCCATTTTTAATCAATTGTACTCTTACACATTTGCGGATGGCAGAGTTAGGTTGTTTGGCTTCAACCCCGCTGTAACATATAAATGTAGACTGACTGCACTATCATATAAATAAGTAAAAACATGTGATGAAGACGATACATAAAAAACACTCCGCACAGAATTTTCCTGTGATTGGATGTTAAATAAACCATTCACATAGAAATTCTGCGCAAAGTATTTCTTCAGCGATGGATGTTAGGTACATATCAGAGCGTAAAGCTTATTGAGGAAGCTTCCCAATGGTTCAGGACCTTTCTTCTATAGCACTGCGTACATGACCCTCAAGTTTGCATCACTATCAAGTTGTCTGCAGTGCACTTATCGTACGAAACACAACTACTTACACTTTTTCTAACACGATTCCTTTCGCGTGAGAAGCACCACCAAAAGGATTCGCCTTCCACCGCGTTCCCAAGTGAGCCTTTTTGTAGTCATTATCCGCCCATCGCTGATCACGGCGATGGTTCACATGTTTTCGTGCAGTCCGAATTCCTCTGGGTTTACCTGAAATGCATAAATACCGATAAATAAAACACCATAGAGCGTTGCTCGACGTAAAAAGCGCGATAATTGTACGGATTATATCCGGATTTTCGAGGATGATTAAGATTGATTCAATAAATTTCAATAACCTAAATTTAACAAAAACTACGATTGACGAGTGGTCGAAGTTGAAAATTACTAATGTAAAACAACGGTGATGTTTACAATTGATTTTTTGAGCATTTTTATGTTAAAAACCTTAAATTTTGAGTAAAAAAGACTCACCCATGTCGTAGCTTCTCTGCGAGAACGGAAGAGAATTTTTTTTACGAACAGATGTGGTAACAGTGAGAACCAAAATGTTACTAAAAAAAAGGCAGTGATGCCGATTGTAAGAAATAATGTGCGTTGTGTGCGACATCTCGCGATACAGATAAGTAATATCATTAACCGTATATGATTATAATCCCACAATGTTTTTAAGAGTTTGGTACATGTTAAGAGGAATGCATTTCAAATTCGTGACGATACGAGTACCAAATTCAGTCACAAAATTAAACAAAAATTGGGCCTCGCCTTTATAGGTGCATATATGAAAGAGAAAGAGTTCAAGAATGTTTTAAGTGCTCTGCAGAATATTCCAGCCACTAAAGGCTGTGATTGGTTAAAACACGAGTCAGTATTACGCCAAAAAAATAAAACGAGTTATATACTTTGATTATTAATCAAAGGTGATAAACTTGGTAAGCTGGACAAATGTGTTTACGTTTTGTAGAAATAAAATTAATAATTTTACTGTTTCCCCTTGACGTTATGCAACTCATATATCGCGTGGCCTTGTAGTAGGGGAGCTAGCTCGAAATCCACTGAACGAAAATTTTATAATGATAAGATAATCTTATAATTAGAGAAAAAATTTAAAAAAGAAACACCGTTTTTAACGAGAGCTTTTGGATAGTGCTAAAAGAACCGGAAAATTTTTATATACCTTCTGCAGTCTCAGCTACTAGCTAGAAGACCGTTTAGAGCAATTGAACGCTTCGGGGCTTTCTACATGCTCGCCAGAACCTTGTATCACATTTCTATATCAGTTTCAAAGCTTTTAAGTGCTGTCAGGCCGAAATCACCAATATACAAAGCTGTCTTGAAACAGCGTAGACCACTTTCGGATTTTTGTGCTATATTTTAGGAATGGTCAAGTTCTAAGAGCTTAACATATATCAGCTAGAACGCATTTTCATTCTCTGTTGGCATATTACCATTGATTTTAATGATATTTTAAATTACCGTTGAATTACTTTTAATCGCACAGTAGGCAACACTGACCAGTGCGTTTAAGTAGGGTTCTTTGTTTCCTAAATGCTGGTATGATCTTAGAATTGATCGCCAATGAACACTAAGGATTTCCAACCATTTGACAGTTAAAGGAAGCGCACTTTTTGTATATTTTTTTGAGCCCAATACAATCGAGTTTTGATGTTGTGCTCCTTTTTTTTGTGTTTCTATTCTGGACCAAGCCTTCATGTTCAACAACGCTAAATCATTAAGCTCTCCTTTATTTACTAATCAAGGTAAAATGCGTATTTTATTTGGAAAAAAAATGGGGTTAAGTTTTTTGTTTATTTTCTTTCTTTTTGACAACAAAATTTGAAATAATTTTTCTAATTTCAATGTAGTTGTACCCTTATAAATAAAGGTTGTAGGTTTGCATGGATATGGAGAACGAAGAGTCGGAGGATGCTTTTCAGTCGTCACTAGAACCAGATGTAATTATTGACGATGATTCTGTAAGTATTTAATGTAAAGGTACGTATTTAACTTTGCTTTGTAGAAGGAAGATGCGGGATATTACCAAAGCGATAGTCAAGAAGAAGAGCACAATGGCAATTCAAAAAGAGGCAGCCAACAGTTTTCCTTAATTCCTATTAATCAACACTCGATTAAATTGAAAATGCCAAACTTGTGTGGATATGGTCTGGAAAAAGTGCGCAAAACTCATAGATCTCCAAGGCAAACTGTAAGACTGATAACTAGTGAAGAACTGTTACAAGCCGATGTTCGCAGTTCAAGCTTGAAAAGAAAATCTCTTCCATTAGAGAAATGTCCTATTTGCAAAAAATTCTTCCGTCGCATGAAAACACATTTGCAGAAACATGAAAATATGAGGCGAGATCCGAACGACCCATTAACGTGTAAATTTTGCATGAAAGCGTTTAACACAGGCAGTAATTTAATAATACACATGCGAACACATACCGGTCATAAACCGTACATATGTGAGGTTTGTACAAAGGGCTTCGCGCAATCCTGTAATTTAATTAATCACATGCGTATTCATACGGGAGAACGACCATTCAAATGTCCGCATTGCGATCGAGCGTTTACACAATCGGGAAATCTTGGCAATCACGTTCGGTTGCATACCGACGAAAAACCATTTAAATGTCATTTTTGTGAGAAAGCTTTTACACAGTCGGGAAACTTAAATTCTCACATAAGAAACAACCACAAATTTGTAATAAATGGAACTGATCTAAGTACCATGCAGTAGCTTTAAGGATCGTAAATGCAATACTCATATCAATCTTATATACGCTTCATATTTTTGCTTTATTGTAGTATTAAAGATACGTAAAATTAAGAAGAAAAGTCTGCTCATGATTAATGTTGTATTTTCATAAGTATAAGCAATATGATTATGCGAAAGTACTTCCAAGTGGATATTTGAAACATTGTTCCTTATTAATCAGTCCGTAGTACTGAAATTATATTAGTTTATTAGACTGAATTTATTATTGGTATATGATCTCAAAAGATTGTACTTATGTAGGATATAGTCAAAAGTAGGAGACTGTAATTTTTCCTGTGTTCGTGGAATAATTAGTAGTTAGTCATGTTGATAATGAGAACCAAAACTAATTGTGCTTCAGAAAAAAAGATGGTCATGTGGCCAAAATTTTTTGGTTCCCATTGCCTGCATTTTATTAGCTTTATTTTTGTGTGATCTAATTTTAATTGATAAATTAACAAAACTTAAAATGTGATTATAAGTTTGTGTCATCAATCACTCTACAGACTGATTAATTTATATTTATCAAAAAATTACTAAAAATCGATTTATTTACACATTTGTAATGTACTGCATGTTTTTATCATATACAAGTAGTTTTCTACAATATACTTATACAACTTTCTTGTTTCTTCAGCAATCGTACAATAACAAGTAATTTTCAGACCCCAAACACGGTTAAATCAGTATCTATACTTTGTCGAGTAATCTTTGGGTGAGACAACAAGACCTCGTCCTTTTCGAGCCCCTCTGTACACTGTTTCAATTATATCTATCATCTCCTGTTTGTCTTCCAATGGCCAATTAATTTTGTTGTTATTACCAGTACCTAAATCAATCATAATGTGTTTATTTCTAAAGAAAAACATTACTGTACACGGATCGTACAATTCGTACCTAAAATATCATCTTTGAGTACAACTAATACACAGCGATGAACTTACATTTTATTAAAATCTGGAACCTCAGTAATGTCGACCAAGTATATAACCGCAAAGTTTTTTACTTTCTCTGCAATATTATACAGTACTTCGTCCATTCTCATGCATTGAGGATCCCAATCGTGTCCAAATCGAACAACCTGTTAAGAAAACAGTCTTGTAATTGCAATTATAAGTGAGAGATATAACTTACGATTACTCTATCTTCTTCGGATAATATTGCTTGGTCTACCTGCCATCCATTGTGTAAATGAGCGAGCATATAAGACATGTTGAAGACTGGTTAATTTTTCACTTAAGTGGAAAAAGAAAATATTTATGTATCGATTTGAGGTTAAGATATAAAATTGACAGCCGGGGGACGTTGTCAAAATATAGCAATAACCAACGTAAGGAAACGAAACTTTGTGTTATACAGAGTGCGTCAATTTGGATGGCAGTTCGCACAACTAAAATGTCAGTAGATTGGAATAACCGTTCAATTGTCAAAATGATTAGATCTGTAGTGTATTTAACCTCCAGGCTCTAAGCCAACTTAACACTACAAGAACACGGAAATAAAGTCAATCCGGTAACGTTTGACAATGGCCACCAGATTGACTATTCCCTCTAAAACTAAACAGATCCCGATTAAATTTGAAATCGAAAAGTGACACGTAATCAAACATCTAAGGCAGGGCCCCCTTACGTTAGTTGTAAACGACGATATGACCTGAAGTACGGTTGGGAAGGCATGTAAAATAAAACACTGAAATTGTGAAAAGTTTGTTTAATAATTAATTTTGTGGAATACCTGGGAAAACCCAATACTAACATTACTGGGGAACCCCCGAGCTACCACTTACTACGACAAAGGTTAAGTATTGCCATACAACGTGGCAACGCGACCAGTGTAATGGGGACGCTTCCAACTACGATCCCCATGGAAGAAATTTATTACCTATTTATAAAGAAGATTTAATTTGGTTAAACAACATTGTTATTATGAAGATTGTGAAAATTGGGAAATTTAGTCGAATTAATTACACTGTTAGAATAAACTTTGGAAATGGTAGTTCACCGAATAAAAAAAGAAATAGGCTAGGAAAAAAGACCTTACCAAGAAAAAAAATGGATATTAAATTGTGTAGCAAAATTAATTGTTTGTAATGATGTTAATGAACAACATAAAATTATAACAATATTAACAAAATATGTAGCATGTAGGCCTCGAGAGGTGACATATAGGTTAAAAACAAGGTTTAGGCCTTTAGGAACAATATGGATAAAGTAAGCATCAGGTACCAAGATTCTGTGAAAGGGTGAAATACACAGGATGTGACTCATATTTGGTGCAATAAGATCCTCTGTAGTCAATCCGCCATATTTGAAAAAAACAGTCAAACGTTAATTCTTATGAAATGCTGCTTTTGTAGATGAAGTCTAACAAATTCTTGATAGTCGATATTCTTTGCAATGATGAAGGGAACGCTGGCTGGCACTTAAAGAAAGTTGAAATATCAGTATTAGTTTTTAAGTTAGGTCCAAGAACGGAAAAACCGTTTTCCTTAAATAACAGCCATTGTAATGAATGAGAGTAGAAAAACCTTAGACTATGTTCCTTCTCTATATAAGAGAAAAACGTACAGCTCCATTTTGGAAATGTCCCAACTTTTAAATTCCTAAAGTTTCGAAGCCTCCGTCATGCATTCTACAACTTTTAAATTACCTAAATATATAAATTATTACTGTTGCTTAGAATGTCGAAGTTCTGAAATGTAAATTTCTATACCTTTAAACGTTATTTATTTATTTATTTTAATTTATGAACACAACAAGTTACCCCAATAACAATGTTCATAAATGATATAAAAAAATAAAATATATTATAAAGTCTCATAAGGTTTTTAAGGCCTATCGAGTATCTAAGCTACGTAAAGTAGTCTCGTAGATCTCCTTAGTTTGTAAGGTTCTGGCATATCAAAATTAGTATGACAATTAATTTTATTTGACTCACGGCTGCCTCAGTAATAGAAATTTATTTTAAACCCCATTACCTTGCGGACGGTTGGCCTTTTATCTCCTTTTAAAACCTGACATTCAGAATCTTATGGCCTGGTTGATTGAAATTGAATAAATTACTCATCTGAAAACAATGGCGATCAATTCCATGTTCCTTTCCAAGTTATTTGACTTAAAATATAGATTTGGCTTATAAAAAGAAATACAACCAACATGCATCTCCTGATCACGTGTCCATATTAAATTTGATCCTTATTCATCTGTACCGCTGAATTACTGGTATATTCTCCTGTTCAAATACATACTGAAGGCTAAACAAAATTCTTTATCCAACCAAAGGAATTGTGTCACTGAATTTAAATACAAGTTTTCCAATCAACATCCTTTGTTTGGATTCGAATTGTTCCTTCACGTAATATACATAAATAAAAGGCTTTGCTATGAATCTTGCTATTAAACATTTTTTCTGCGTCTCAAAATTTACTGTAATTCGTTTATTTGCACACTTATAAAATTGCAGGTAACTCGCAAATCCAAATTTGTATAAATGTTCCTCCACAAAGTACCTACTCGAAACTTAAGAGTTCTGGCTACTTCATATGTTGTTACTCGAAGTTAAATAGCTAATTCTTTACTATTATTCGGATAGATTCCATTTACGTTCCGGTGCCCAAATTTACGCTAAGATATTTCTTGTAACGCAGCTAAAAATGTCGATTGTGAATCAATTTTTTCAGTTACTGGTGGTTATACAGGGTGACAATTTGAAAACTTACCACCCCCCATATCTTAGTAAATAAACGAGATATTTAAAAAAATCTAAATCCGTTTCGGTAATTCGGAGGGGGAATCACAATGACATAGTTGGCGACGCACCCTCTCCAACCCCCTGCGCCCCAGCCAAGCCAACTTTTAAATCTTAAATAGTGACCCCCCATGTGTGATACATCTTTGGAAAGTTCTGAAAAAATGCTTTCCAACCGTACCAAATAGCATTACATTTAGGTTACTAATTATCGTGCAAATCAAAAAATAAACTAATATGATACATTTGAAATCTGTCGTATTTCAAACACAACCGGCGAACATAGACGAACTAAGACAGAGAATAATTCAAGAATGTCGAAATATTGCAAAACCAACATTTGAAAAGGTTCGACAAGAGTTTGAGAATAGATTATAACTGGCGATTAAAAATGAGTTGCTGTCGAGTCGGCTTTGGAAGTTCAAGTTAAATACGATTTTCCATGTAAACAAAAATTTCAAAGGGCGACTCGACAGCAACTCATTTTTGATCGCATAGTAATACTGTCTTACCAAGAACGGAAACCATTTTGAACATTTATTGAAATAAAATCCAACTTTAGAAAATGTATCATATTAGTTTATTTTTTGATTTGCACGATAATTACTAACCTAAACGTAATGCTATTGGTATGGTTGGAAAGCATTTTTTCAGAGCTTTCCAACGACGTATCACACATGGGGGGTCACTATTTAAGATTTAAAAGTTGGGGTGGCTGTGGCGCAGGGGGTGTGAGGGGGTGCATCGCCAACTATGTAATTGTGATTCCCCCTCCGAATTACCGAAACGGATTTTGATTTTTTTAAATATCTTGTTCATTTGCTAAGATATGGAGGGTGGTAAGTTTTCAAATTGTCACCCTGATATGTGATCGCTCGCAAAAATCAGCGTAGAATGCCCGCTTTCCCACTTTTCCCGCTATTTAGAAGTTTTTAAAAGTACTGAAACGGGAGTACAGGAAATGTTGTTTTCTTTAATTTTGTATAGAATGGGTTTGTCGAAAAAACGCTTCCTTTCTGAGATATCGGCCCAAAACTGCCAAAATTTGGACAAAAAGTGCTAAAAAACGGACCAGGAAATTTTAATTCATGTTCAGCCACCCAAAAAGCATAAACGGTGAGAAAGTAAATTCTAATGATTCGTCGGATCCATCAGTGGCGTACGTAGAAATGTATTCTGGGGGGGGGGGATTAAACAAGTTCGTGGCACATACAGTCACCCAGTGCGTACTAGAAGGAGGAGGGGGGGGGGGGAAGAAATAGAAATTGGGTTGCAGGTTGCTGATGCTGGTAGTCATTTATCTATTTATTATTGTACAAGCGAAAAAGATTAGATTAGAACGGTATTTTATTTCTTACTGCTGACAGGCCCCTTTATTGCTTTTGCTTTAATTAGTCAACGAAAACTTTGAATAATAGGTATATTTATGGGCAAAAAACCAATTTCGACAAAAAATTCAAAGGGCTGTAACTTTTGATGTGTATTACCTTCCTTTTTTCCCAAAAATCGACAGCACTAAAATTTCTCGGGAAAAAACTTTTTCTTATTAATTTGAGTGCGTAGAATCCAAAACGATTCGTACTTTTTCGATTAGACGTCTCAATCAAAAGTTATGGGCACAAACCCATTTCGACAAAAAATTCAAAGGGCTGTAACTTTTGATCTAGTAGTCCGATCTTGGAACTGTTTGGAATTATGGATTCTACAGGCCACATTCTATAAGAAAATATTTTTTTCCGGTCGATCTGAGACAATTTTTTTTTTCTGGGCAAAAAAAAGGCAGTTATTACCTTCCTTTTTTCCCAAAAATCGACTGCACCAAAATTTCTCGGGAAAAAACTTTTTCTTATTAATTTGGGTGCGTAGAATCCAAAACGATTCGTACTTTTTCGATTAGACGTCTCAATCAAAAGTTATGAGCAAAAAAAATTCCTGTTTTTAAAATTTAAAATTCTTATTTTCGTCATTTCGTGAAAGGCAGGACGCAGGTACCTCACCTCAGTAGCAGTACTAAGTACCTGATACCTATTTGTTATTTTGGGCATCAATGTAGCGAATTGCCGATCGATGCTGAATAGCCAAATCGTTGACTGCCAACACTGATCACTCACTGAATAGTGAATACTGAATACTACAGAATATTTAGATTTTAGTGACTTTAGACTTTAACCAAAACCAAAATTGCTCTCTACATATACCTATATATTATTGCCTTTATTTTAAAGTGGGCGGAACGGATAGCGGAGTATTACCTAAATACCTAATAGCTATGATGATAACTCAATTCTTCTGGGGGGAAATATATCCCCTTCATCCCCCCTGTAAATACGCCACTGGGATCCATCCGGTTCTTCAATTTATTCGAAACCTTCAAATGTTTAGGTTTATTTGGATTCTTCGACTTTGGATCATTTTCGGAAATTGATCTCTCTACGTTCTACAGATTATTGGCATTCTTTTGTTTTTCCAGATATTTCAGGCCGTCAATTGTTTTCAATTTTTCGGTTTCTTCAGATTCCTCGAATATTTTAGATCCAATCTTTTAGATTCCTTTAACACTGCAGGTGTTCTATGAGACAATTAAGTAATGAGACTGATTTTATTGCCCGGCATTTTTCCTCTTTCCATTGATATGTTTACCATCGCTCTAGCTTGTTTAGTTCGCCTGTTGTGATGTGTTTAGTAGACGTGTGTTGGTGGTGCTCGTCACTAAAATGGAGAAGCGAAATCTGGAGCAACGAGTCGCGATAAAATTTTGCGCCAGATTGGGCGAAACAGTATGTGAAACGTACGCTAAGATCGAAAACGTGCGCATATGGTGATAGTGCTCTCTTGGCCTCGGAACTGGGTATGAACCGTGAAACAGTCAGACGAATTTTAACCGACGATTATGGGATGAAAAAGTTGTGCGCGAAGATGGTTCCAAAGAACACTGTTTGGAGCAAGTGGAAAACGATCCCACGCTGTTTGATGGAGTTATTACAGGCGATGAGAGCTGATTTTTCCAATACGACCCTGAAACCAAACGCCAAAGCTCACAATGGTTGTCTCCGCACGCCCCTCGACCGAAAAAAGCTCGCATGAGCAAGTCGAGGGTGAAAACGATGATCATTACCTTTTTTGATACCCGTGGAATCGCCCACAAAAGATTTGTTTCACCGGGTCAAATCGCAAATCAAGTCTACTATCGCCAAGTACTCGAAAGATTGCGAAAATGAGTCAACAGGGTGCCCCAAACATCGCAAACAACTGGATTTAAATATACGGTTTTTATGGAACAGTCTCATTACTTAATTGTCACACCTCGTAGTAGTTTTTGGGTACGTTCTTTTTGATTTTGAAAAAATGTTTACTCCAAGATGGTGGCAGTGGTGATGGGGGTGCAAAAATTTAAAGAAACCACACGTTTTGCATTTGCACGTTATCTGCATAAAAGGTGTGTTTTGATACCTTTTATGGCGCCTCTTTTTTTACGTACTTAATTGTACGCTCTCAACTTTTAGCATGTAATGGTAGGTATATTTTAAAAAGTCATTAAATAAGTTAATACGGCATTTAGCTTTGAACTTTGGTCGCTATAAATGTTATTATTAGCATGTAGTTGTAAAACCAATTTAAAAATCCTGTATCTTGGTTAATATGGATGCAGAAAATGTAGAAGCGGAGACACAAAAACATATCAGAACAGTGAACCTTAATTGCGATCGAAGGTCGTAGTTCTTCTAAATCATTATCATCATCGCAAGTCCTAGTGCTCTTCATTGATACGTACCCTCCTCTTCTTTCCTTTGCATCATCTATCATTTACAACCATCTCCTTCCTCTACTCACTCTTCCGTTTACAGTTCCTTTTCCATCACGTCTCTTCACAAACAGTTTTTTCTCAACACGTTACCCAACCAAATTCTGTATCTTTTGTTAATTGGTGTTCATAATCACAGATTACCAGTGTAGGGTAATCTGTGCCATATAATTATCTCTTTCCCAGTACTTCCTTATCTTGTCTCATCTGGTCCACCTGCTTCAGCTTTCCTTCACTTACGCAAGTTATTCAACTCATTTACTTTGCAGCATTTCTTTCAGTCCCTGCACCCTTTCCGCAAAGAGGATAATATTGTCAGCAAACCAAATAGGAGCTATTCTCCCTCCAACGCTCACTCTTAGGTATATCTCCATTCCAGCATTCTTCTGCCTGACCGATGGCAAACCAATACGTTACCCTCTCCACAAACCTCATGGCTAGTTCTCGTCCCATATAAAGATTATTGATCCAATCTATACTCTCCTTTTTTAAATATTTCATATTAATCTGTTCCATTTTAGCATCTCCATGTCAACTAAACACACCTTCAAACTTTTCGCCTTCACCAAGCATCACTCGCCAATTTTTCTGACAACCGCAATTGCGTCTTTTGTACTCATTTCTTTTCTTACTGTATCCCTTCCTCCATTTTTCTTGTGCATATCCGGTTTAACAGTTTTAACAGTATCTTCGCAGCATGCACTCCAAGCTAATGATTTTGTGCTCTCCATATTTTTCTTTGCCTTTACACAAAGCGGTCAACTCTTTCCAGCTTTCTTTTTGCAAGTATTTCAAAAGCACAAAACATAGTTGTAACCCCATATTATATTAATCTTCGTCAATATAGATGCACGCAACGTAGGAATTGGCGCAGAAATTAGCACAAAACGAGTAATGCGTTGAGGACGTATCGGTTTTTGTATGTGAAAAAATTTGCATTTGCCTTTCGAAGAAACTATAATTATGTAGGTACCTATGATCCAATGATCCAGGGTAGATAGAATAATAACCGGGGGCAATTCAAACAGCGAGCAGTGTATAAATAGCCAAACCGTAGATTCATTTATTTACATCTTTCCAGAGTAAACGTAATGCGGACGAGAATATGGGCACATTCTCCCTTTATTTAAACATTTAAAGATAACAGTTATCGTTTCTGCCGAACATGTATTGTAATTGGGGCTTAACATATTTCCGTATTATCTGCTGGGTCTTGTATACCATAGACCGAAACTTAATAAGTTGTATTCTTTGTTTTTTGACTCCTGGTTTATGTGTTAGAAACGCATTGTCGAGCACCAAGTAGTCATAATTCATTAGGCACATAGCGTAACCCTAAAGTGAGAAATTGTATCATGTAAAATGAGCTATTTCAGAATCTTACTTGGACCATTTTATTGCTCTGTCCTTCCCACGAAAACCTTTCGTCAAAGATTGGGTCGCTGTGCGTTCCTATGTAGAAAGCTTCCCACTTTCTGTACTTTCCCTGACGTTTGGTCGATGTGAAAATATTTAATTTGCTGTCTTCTTTTGAGGAAATCCATTTCTTTTCGTTTGGTATTGTGTGGCACAGAGAACAAATGCGCTTATGAAAATAAAATGCTCTTTTCGCATTAAACATTTTCTGCAGTGCGGTTTTGTTGGATGGAAGTGTTTGATTAAGCAGTACCTCGAAAACAGGCAGAACGAATACTTTTTTAGTTTTTCTTTCGATCAGTTTTCGATTTTCTTCGACAAAGCGTAGGAATTTTGGTATTAAATTGGGAGAGGGATATAATTCGATATCGGAAGCTAGAACAAAATGTGTCTGTGCACTACGTTTTGCAATGTTTCGAGCGACATTGATCGGGTATGTAAGGTTGGCTTTCGTTTTGTATAAAGCTTTGAAGTCTTTGTTCGCGTATGGTGCCGTTTTGTAGCAATCGAAATGGTCTTTGTACGAATTCCGTAGTGTGAAACTTGGCGGCTGTAACAAAAGAAGATATATGGATTAAGCATTTCACCCCTGCAAGTGAAAGATATTATGTAATAGACTGAAAGTCGTAATGGCTCTATTCCACATTGTTTACATTAGACTAATTATACGATCTCCCATGCTTCAAAGTGACTAATCTGCTTACTTTAGCAGACAAACGCGTAAAGTTTCCTATATTCCCAAAGGATCAATTACGCCACCTCTTAATGTGCATGTATGGGAAACTAAGAAAAAGGGTTCAAATCGGCGATTTTCACCAAATAATAAGATAGTTCGTACAACGGCCACAATCATTAGTACTTTTAAGCAACTTATGGAATTTTAAGAACTATAAAAAGCACCCTATCTACTGAATGAAACAAAGTTAATTAAAAGGCACTCTACGTAGATATAATTCCATTAATTACTGCACGTATAGAACTTTCCCAGTTTAAACGAAATCCGTTTAAAGTAAAAAATGGATAAAATAACATGAATTTACCTTTGATGCTGTATAGAAGGGTATGTGGCTTGTCGAAAAGAAAATGTGAAACGTGACGTATTTCTTAATTAAATCGCTTGCTTTAAGACAATGCCTCAAGTAAGCAATTGAATCAACGGTGTTAGAGAAATCGTATCCAGGTGCATGCAGGGCCACACTTATAGGACCATTCCATCGTTCGACCAAAGGAATCAAATTGTCCAAGAATGTGTAATCGCCCTGTGTGGTGTAGGTTATACTCTCATAGCACCGATACCTTTGACGTGCCGGCACGTAGTTAAATAACACCCAGTATTCTCCACGTTGTTCGATACTTGGCTCCAGGACACGATCGTAACAGCCTGTTATTTCTTGAATTAGGTTTTCCTTCCTTGGTGCCGCGGTTGACGTGGTGGTTCGAATCCGTTCGGCAGGTGCTGGTAGTTTAAATATTTCACTTTGCCGAAAATTAGCCCAGCGTGTTGAAGTTATAATGTTTATAGATATTGCCAAAACGGCCAAACAGGCGATAAAAAGCAAGAGGCAATTCCGTACTGAAAACCACGTCAATTTCATGATCGCGACCTTTTGTAAATGCATAAACAGTTTGGTGAAATGGCATCGCTTTTATCATAAAAATACTGAATAAATCACGTACACCCATTGCTCAAATTGGGTTCACGTGATGATTAAGTTAATAATTATACTTTTACAGTTACACGTGTTTTCCAAGATAGCTACATTGTTGTTTTAGATAATACCGGTATAGCTACCGAACCATTTTATTGCCCATTTTGGTCTTTGGAAATATATATATTTTTAATTCCTTCTTTGCTCCATTTCCTTTTTCGGCTTTTGATTGCAGATGGATGCGAATACAATCAAGGTTTCTATTTAAGGCACGTAGTGGGAATCTCAAAAATGAGTAGGCCGCTGGTATGGTTTCAAACTGCTGCCACAATTGGCATTGAAATGTAGCATTCCTTTAGTTTATTCGATTCTTTTGCACGCCTTTTTTTATAGCTTTATCTCATTATCTTGCCTCAAAAGTACATTTTGGTTAAGTAATACCATTGTATATAGGTGTATGTACAATGGTAATACGTAATACCTCGGTTTGGCTTGGTATGGAAGGTATCGAATCCTATATTTCGGTTTTCGAAGAATCCGGATGTGAATGTTTTATTTTAGGCATCGGGCAAGTTTAATTTCCGAGAAATGTAGTTTCATTTTTTGGAACTTTTTTGCTGGAATACTTATCCAACCATATGGTCTTCCGTTTGGAATAAAATAGGTCCAAAAGCATTTTGATCGTGTAAAAATTTCAAAGAAAAACTTCGAAAAAATAATTTTTACAAATCTTTTGTAAACATTCTTGAAGGTTATTTCCGAATGAATATCAATGTAGTTTACGTACAAATTATTTAAAAAACTTCCATATTGTAATAGATATCTAGCAAGATACGAATCTTACAACAAACATTTAATGGTTCAGGAAAAAGGGCAATAAAATTGCCATGACTACATAAATAATTTGTTTTCTAGCGCATTTTTGGGAAAAAAAAACGCTATTATATTCGTTATGGTTGGTTGGCAGGCTGTCCGGCCGAGATCTCAGCAATTACAATAGCTAGACACTTCAAATTTTGACTAATAGCTTTCTGATGTAGTGTAGATATGCAGGCTCTAGTCTATTTTGCGTTAGACTACTTGTGAGATCGATAATTTTAAATTTTGCTAATGAAATACTGATCTGCATTACCAAAAATGCGCTTTCATTTACACATGTTTTAAATAAATAGTAAATACTATGCGATCAAAAATGAGTTGCTGGCGAGTCACCTTTGGAATTTTTGTTTACATGGGAAATCGTACTTAAATTGAACTTCCAAAGGCGACTCGACACGATAGCAACTCATTTTTGATCGCCCGTTACATCAAACGAAGAATAAGAACATTAACACTTAACTTCTACCCTGATTTCTACAAATATTGCTCAAAATGGCAACCTCTATTGCGTATACACGCACGACAGCGTCTTCTTAGTTCTGTTTTAGTTACTCTAGTTGTCAATGTATTCTGAATGTGTTCAGCAGTGTCGAGTACCTATCCTTTGTCTACGATATTCATTGGAGTTTAGTAGACTTATCTTTCATATGACCCCATACGCAGTAGTCCAGTGAAACTAAATCCGGACTCCTTGCAGGCCAAAGTATTGGGCCTGCTCTTCCAAATCAACGATTCGGAAAACGTCGATTGAGTAATATAATTCCCGTACTGTCAATCGATCGACAATGCCCCGGACACGGCTAAAGGAACATCTTCTAGAAGTCCTTGAAGGTCATTTTCAAGAAAATGTTCATACTCGTACATTTCTCCGTTTAAATTTTCAGGCAAAAAAGAATGGCGCGATTAAATAGCGGCTAGTAAGTCCAATCCATACCTTTTCAGAAAATTTCCTTTGGAAATTAGTTTCACTTATTTAATGTGGGTTTTCTTCTGCCCTATAGTGTAAGTTGTGAAAATTTGTTATGCCCTCGCGAAACAGATCTTCTGCGTCTGCATCATTTAATCTTCTTTCATGATCACCTTCATCTAAGGCTTCAACAGAGGTATAATGGTAAGGATGGTATCCAACTTAAAGTACCGTAGAAATAGTCAGTATATTCTCCATTGCTGTACTCAGCCATGTTGTCACTCCAACAACACAACAGCAAAAACAACAACAGCGACAAAAATATTAAATAAAATAAAATAATTAATAAATCATAATTTTAACTCGCTGTCAGATTCACAGATTGTCTCCAAAGGAATGTATCCAATTACCAGTATATCCGAATTATTTATCTCAAAATATCCTATATACAGTGTGTAAAGCGATGGGGTATACAAGAGGGATTTTTTTTAAAATATTGATTAATGAAAAAAATTTATTCTTCATAATATGTTTTGCTTGCTTTGAAAGTACCAATAACGTTTCGATTGTTTGTGGTTTGATAGCAATACGCTATCTTGATTATAATGTAGAATGATAACTTTCAATAAAAAAATTAATTTTATTATTTTTCCCGATTTCTATAAATAAATTTTAGATTATCGAAACGTTATTGGTACTTTCAAAGCAAGCAAAAAATATCATAAAGAATAAATTTTTTCTCCAACCACCTGAATAAGACGCTATTTTGTGACAGTGTTCGGTACGTAAAATTGACGTTTTGCGGATTAATCGCTTTCACCATGGCAACTGTACAAAAAGTAGATACTTTTGGTCCTAGTACCAAAAAGAAATTGACCTTGAAAGTTGGCCAATTAAAAAATTACAATCACGGAGATATGTCACATTGACATCGTTTTACATTGCAGGTTATAAGATATTTCTATACATACAAATCAAATCTTTTTGCATATTCAATGCAAATAATGATGTCACCTATACGTATGTACATGTATTGAAAATGATTTACGCTCGCTATTTTTATTTAAACCATGTGTAACGTAATTTACATATTCGATGAACGTAATTTTAATACGTATACAACCCGCCGTCGCGCGTAACGCCATCTACTTCAGACCCCTTGCACTATTATCTGTCATTTTGAATTCAAAATTTGAAAAAGTTAATTGCAATTAATTTTAATTAAAAAACTGTACGGTAAGTTTTTTATTTCAATACAAAATATAACAATATTAATTGTGTATACAATAAAATGACTGAAACTGATAGCGACATGGATTGCACTCCGCCAGAGATTATAGAAACGGCAGAACATGCTACCTCAAGATTTGCTCCCTACAAAGTCGCGAGAGGTGAGAAGTAAGAAGTCAGAACGAATAGGTTATAAGTTAACCTAAAAACTAGAGTGGCATGACACGTGAGGACAAGAAAGCAGAAGTTCTTATACTAGTAGTGAAACTGTGACTGAATCTAAATTCGAATATAATTTGAAGTAAAGGGGGTTGGAGAAAAAATTTTATGTTTTATTCGTACAAAAAATGCGTTTTCGGGACTCGGAAGGTTGCTGGACTCCGCTAACGCGTCGTCCAGCAACTATCTTCCTCGTCCCGAAAACTGACATTTTTTGTACTAATGAAACAAATAACTATTTTTCATAAATCAATATTTAAAAAAAATTCCTTCTTGTACGAGTATACTCCATCGCTTTACACACTGTATTTCTGAGACGTTTCCAATTTGTTAAAACATTTCCATTTTTTAAAGTTAAACGTAAAATGTTTAGATTCTGGTTACATTAAACAAATTTCCAAAATGCCTACACGTTTTGAAAACTAAGAAACACGTCAAACATTTCCTTCCTATTTCCATTTCTGAAAAATGCATTCTGAAACACTTCTACAATTTCTGACATGAATGTTCATTCAAGTATTCCGATATTATTAAACATTTTTAACATGTTTTGCACGTTTTTGATATATTTTCAACATTTCCTCATTTCCTGCACTTCTAAAACATTAAAAAAAATTTAACATTTCCAATTTTTTATTTTTTTAAGTTTATTTTGACTTCGTTTTCCCATTTGCGTACTGAAGCGGCGTCCATAATATAAGTGTAGAGTTTCACAATACATTAAATACAAATACAATACAATAGAAAATGACGGGACATTACTAATAATATGCTGATAAATATAAAAATATCACCCGTGGTTATATCACGTTTTTACAGTATAAATGTATTCATTGATGGTGTAATAACTTTGGTTAAGTAAAAAACGTTTAATTTTAATGCGAATTGGTCTACACTCTTCCGATACATCACCGATACCTATATAAATGCAAATTTAATCCAGTTGCCCGCACTAGTTTTTTCGTTGCAAGTGAAAAATCGTTTCCCTATGGAACAAAATTGATAACTTAATTTATTTGTTAATCGATATCGATGTAAATGTAATCCAAATAACGGACCACATGGGATATCCGAAACAGTGGTCCAATCGCCTGTGTCCACGTTCTTTTTTCGTATCATTGTTCGTCACTACAGCTTCCAACCATCGCTCGTTGCTAACTTTTTTAGAGGGTGCGTTTTGGTTATACGTGATCTGCTGTCACGTTGCTGGAAATATTCGTTGCTATTACTTTATGAACCTTTGTAATTTTACATGTAGTCTATGATATTTGACAAATTAACATGTAAAACAGGATGACTGAACAGATTTCGTTCTTCCGCATCTTAACGGTTTTGAGCTCCTTACGACACCCTTTATATCAAAATAAAAAGCGTTCGTGTATTATAATTGACAATATATTGAAATCTAAACGTCCGGTATCTTGTAAAATTATCTGCAATTCTAACTGTTTGTTCTTAGAGAAAATGTACCAGGACAATTAAAATTGTTATATTAATTTCTATGATTAATAAAGTAGAAATGAAAGTCAGTTTATATCTTAAATATTGGCCACATTAGACTTGCACCTTATAACCCTGACTCATTTTTTCGTTGATTTGATAAACACAATATGAGGTAAATAAATTATATCCTTAGATAACGCAAGCGCAGGTCGATGTAACACGCGGTCAAGCATCGCGACGCTATCGGCGCTCAGTTCATCACACAGGTTGGTGTTATACGT